GTTCAGCTCTAAAATACACATTTTACTAGCTACTACAGCATCCGCGAGACTGCCTAATGTCTTTAGTACTGTAACCATCACTCGGTTCAGCATTTCTAAGATCCGGTCAGATGTTAATAGTGCCTTCCTTCTACATAGCTCGACAACTGTGCCATGTGACCCCTCTTGGTTAAACAAGTTGTCTCAGAACACAAGCATAAACATTTACTCACGAAACTATAAAAAATATCATAACACCAATGAATTTAAACTTTTCGAAACGATAAATAACTAAAGCGGAGCAGTGAAAAGGCCAGGACAAAACCAGTTCTAAATCCTGAACATATCCAAGAATGGGAACAGTCCATCAGAGGCTATGAATAACACAAGGAAAATAAACAGCTTTACACTTCAGCAATTACAAACTTGATCTATGCGATAACCTTCTTGATAAAGATGCATTACGTAAATTACGGCAATTTTTAAGAATATTGGATAAGTTTGTCCTAACTTTCAACTTATATTTCTCATAACGGAAAGATGCACAGAGCCATGAAATTTTCAGACTATCAGTTAGCTCAGTTGAATTTATCCTTCGTCTCTAGTACAAAGCTTCATTCTGCCGAAGGGCTAACGCTCGAAACGTCAGCTTTGAAACTCTTTGCGGTGGCCAATTTACGATATCAACTCAGTTGATCATACCAAATTACCTTCTCGCACAAAGCAGCGAACTAAGCATGTCACTGAATTTCTTCGAGGTCTCAAAGAAAGTACTTGGGGTATAAAGAGAGGGAATAGCGATATTCTTCCAATTCTACTAGTTACCCCGTTTGCCAGTATCCTCCTTGTGAGAAACTGGTTATTACAACTCAACTACTCTCATCAGCCTGAATTTAGGTGGATAAACAATGATTACTGAAACCTGAGGTCATCGAACACGTACGCAACCAAACCACTCCTATTCTGGCAGATATCAGAAGAAATTGGCAAAGTACCTTTAAAAAGTTCAGCATGTTTTTGGACCGGTAGGAAAAAAATAAAACAAAATAACAAATATAAAAACAAGAATAATGAAATGTGCAGAACGGCCGTGGGTACGAAAGCTCTGGGAATTTTTCATTCCCCAATTGTTGTTGTATTTCTCTAAATATTAAAAAATTTTCGTTTCTGATGAGAGAATTTCGATTCAGCTGCCACAGGGGTAGTTACTGTTTATGACTCTCAGAAATCACATTTGTAGGAATCCTCGCTTAAAATGAAGTTTTAAAAGGTTTTAAGATCCTCTGAATTTAACATGTAACTTCCGGTGAAAAATGTTTACCGTCGTTTTTTAGCCAATATTGATCTTGTATGACAGACAGCGAAAACTTTTTTACACAACAGTCAAAGCATTTTGGTAGAAAATATTTTGAGCTGGGGCTTATAGGTTGTGATTACGATCTCCTTTAGTAATATCTAAATTACAATTATTCCTTGCGAGTTACATGAAAAAAATCAGCTGGCATCTATTGCTTTGAAATATGTACAAACAGTAAAAACGAGAAAAAACGGAATAATTAGATTTAGATTATCATAACATGTGTAGAAACCTTTACTTTAATGAGATGGTCGCACCGTGTAAGTTCTAAACGTCGTAAAAATGTTTGCAAATAAATTTTGATTGCAACATTTTTTATCACGTAAATGAATTAAGAAACTGGTAGGTTAATGTTTAGTGTTCGTTTATTTTCCAGAGTGTAATCACCAGTTGTTTGATTGGACATCACCAGCCTGGTTTGAGCACTAAGGGCACAATTAACACGTCATGCCTGTATAAGTGGACAGCACGCGTCAAAGTCACGCGCTGTTGTCCCGCATATCGCGGAGTTAATTGTTTATGAAAACGCATAATCGATGTCTCATCTGACCAAGTTTCCATCTCGAATTTTGTCATAGTTTTGATTAGTTGGTAACAGGACTTCGTGTCGTCCAATTCTGTCTGTAATCCAACTAACTGGGTAATGCGCCGATCAATTCGAGGCTTCAACATCCCCCGCCCCCGCCGCTGAGCATTTGACTGTCGTCCGTACCGGGGTGGTGTGAAGAGCGTAAACCAGAGGCATAAAGTCTTTCCAGCGGAATAAACGTGGTTTATCTTTTGATATGGAGGTTTTTTAAACATAAGATACTGATAAAAGGAAGATCAGATCCAGCACTGATTTGGGTGAGGAATTTAAACACAATCTTGGCCTCAGGAGGCGGGAATTTGAGCGAACCAATCTTGAAAAGTTCAAATGCATGGGGGCTGCTAGTTGCATTTGACGCTTCGAGTTGATCGACGCATGAACGTTTGACTGATTGATTTTCGGGACAAGAATAAACCCGTTGGTAACATATTAGCGGGCTATGTCAAACAAGGCTATCTGAGTAAAAGTTTCGTAAACTCGTCTCTCCAGCGTTTAAGGTTATTTTGAACTGAAGTAACTCAGAGTGGTTTCTTTACATTCATTCAAAGCAGAATCGCGAGCTCTTTGCATTCCGTTACTTGCGGGATGGTTTCTACTCACATGTGCACCTGGCCGATTATTCTTTTGGCGCTTTCGTCGCTTTTTATCTCAGTCAGTCGCAGTCATGGTAAGTAGTAAGCCTAAAAAAGCAAGCAGAGAAGCTTTTCACAGAAGCTGAAATAGGACACCGGTGTTATGCAAAAGTAAAACAATCATTCTCTAAAAAACGTTTCTCAACGACTCTATTTGGCAGGTCGGATTAGATAAACGTTTATATATTCTTTTACGACCTGTGTTTGTTTTTTGAGTTGAAATTTGGGTGAAGCCTTTTTTCTTCGAGGGATCCATCCAAGTAAAGTAGGTTGAAGAGTTAAGATGAATCAGACTAACATTTTTTTCTCGGAATGAGCTCGGTCGTATTACTCGGTTTGGCCGATTGCTTATCGATTTGAAAAGGTGAACCCGATGTTCGTGAAGGCTTTGTGAAGAAGGAGCGAAAATGGAGGCAAATATTGATAGCTTAAATGAAACAAACTTTAGCAATCCATGGCAGCTGGTACTGGATCGTACAACGATGTAAGTGAGTTAGTTGTTGAGGTAATGAAAATATCTGGAATCGCTGACTATCGAAGCCGCAATTAGGAAAGGTATTTGCGTGGGTAAATTGTATGTTCACTCTCAATTTTTTGTTATTTACGGTTCGGTAAAAGCCAAGTTTTTTCGTTTGTCTCACGATGTAGTCACGTGTGATGTAGATCGCGACGTTTCGACTGCATCCTGCTAGTCCTCTTCAGGCGATGAAGACTGAAGAAGACTAGCAGTATACGCAGTCGAAACGTCGCGATCTACATCACACGTGACTACATCGTGAGACAAACGCAAAAACTTAGCTTTTATTGTTATTTACCAAATGAATAACCGCAGCCTTTTTTACGGTACGGTATTGACAAACGCGTTATGCATCTGATTTTAAAGCTCATGGGTGCCCGAGTGATATGGAATCGAAATTTTGTATGTAGGTGGCATGTATAAAATTGACTTCGTGGCTGTGACTTGTGGAAAGATTGTATTTCTCTTGACTTTTGGAAGCGTATCCTGTAGTAACAAGTCCATGTGCTTTCTAAGATGCGATTTGAACTACGTTATGTTCGATAATTTGGTTTCTTCGAGTTCGTTTTGGATGAAAGTGAATTATTAACTGGTCAGACAAGTTACAGAGCCAAATTATGTTATACAATAAGAAAAAAAATACAATTTTAGTTGAAATAGAATTTGCCCAAGAAATGTTCAGTATCCACGTAATGATGATAATAATTATTATCCATGGATATTATAAATAGAAGTTACATGTTAAACTCCTCTAGGGGTTAAGGGGTTAAAATTACAGGTGGTACAACTAAACGTTAAAGCTGTCTGCTACATATATAATTATGGTTCATACAGTTTTAAACATGTTGATCTGGAAAGTAACCTGAGCTACAATTGGAATTGGTGATGTTTAATACTGCAGAATGCAGACAGAATACAAAATCCACTTCGAACAAGTTTTCAAAATAACTTCTGATTATAGGCTTGTTCCTATTATTTATAACATTATTGTGCTTGAGAAGGAAAATTTTCACTTTTTGTTGCCTATTTGATCAGATTCATTTCCAAATATCAAACACAAGGCTTGTGTATGGAAGAAATTTCTCCTTATTTTACATTTTCCATTGCAGTCATATGAAAAATTGTTCTCACAAACTAAGTATGCCATTTTAAACTTTAAGGTGCCAAAGGCACTATCAATCAATTCTTAATACAAAAATGCAATGATTGTTTAGGTTTGATTTAATCTTGCCAAAAAAGAGTTTACCCACAACACACCTTGACATGCATGCTTATAACAATAGGCCATTTTACAGTTGTGCACTTAGCCACAAAGCCTTTGATTTGGAGTGAGGCTGAAGGTGACCTTGTTATGGTAGAGACCAGTATCTAGTTAGCATGATAACCAAGTAATTTACAATACAATACAATACAATACACTTTATGATTACGGCTCCCCTACATGTATATGAGGGTATTCTGTTGTAATACAATAATATTTATATAATAATTTACAATGGGTCAGAGAATATTTACATGTGTTGCAAAGAAAAAAGACCAAAAAAAATTTAAAATAATAGTACAAAAAAAAATAATAATAATGATAATTAATATAATTTCGTATAAAGGTGTAAAAGGGTTGAAAGATCCATTTAAGAAGAGTTTCAGATAAAATGGGCCACTTTCCTTTAAAGATCTAAAATATCATTTGTGCTTTGAATTCACATTTGAAAAGCAGCAAGGTTTGTATCATAACAAGGTCACCCTTAGCCTTACTCCTATTCAAAGGCTTGGCAACCAAGCACACAACTGTAAAATGGACCATTGTTATAAAATGGACTATTGTTATAAACACATCTACCCCTGCCACTGAAGTCAAGAAGTACATTTCTAGAGCAACAGCTACAATTCTAGGCAGAGCTATGAATAATTTTATTCCTCCCATATTCCTATCAATATGTCTTTAATCATTTATTTTTGTTATGTAAAGAATGTTCAAGTGCTCTTGGTATGGAGAGTCGCCACATCAAAGATGCTCAAATCACTGCATCTTCACAATGGGATAGAAATCATGCGGCATTCCAGGGAAGATTGAACTTTAAGGCTGGTGGAGGTAAACAGGGAGGATGGTCAGCTCGGTCGAACAATGGAAATCAATGGATACAGGTGGCTCTTGGCAGTTACACCAAATTAACAAGTATAGCAACACAGGGAAGGAATGCTGATAGCCAATGGGTAACAGCATACAAGCTGCAGTACAGTGAAGATGGAGTGAACTTCTACTACTATAAAGTACCAGGACAGAGTTCACCTAAGGTACATAAATTACCATGTGTCAGATATTGAAAGCTTTTTGGGTATATCTCAAGTCGACCTGTAGAAAATGAACCTTTAAGTGGACAAAAATCTGTTGATATTCATGTTGTATCATTATTTGAATTGAATAGTATATTGACAACTAAATAATGTAAAACATATTGGCATGTAGGTGATTATGCTTTGCATTTCTAAGAATTGCTTTGTTCAACCCTTAAACTCCCAGAAGTGATTCCCATGTAACTTCTCCCAACAATATCCATCCACTATCCAGCAAACAGGTAATGAGAATACTCAAATGTATCAGGTAGAAGTTGTTGTCTTGGTATAATACCAAATTCTTGCAACTAATTTACAAGGAAATGTGTAACAGTGAGATGTGAGAATTGACAACCAGATCATGGGAGTTAAAGGGTTATTTAATAAGCAATTGATACTCGACTAAACAGAATAATGATAAATACAATGATGTTAATTTGTTATGGGAATCACTTATCTTACTAGATTTTGTATGTTGATCATTTAAGGTTTTTAAAGGAAATAAAGACAGGGATAGTATTGTGTACCATGAAATAAACCCACCAATCCAAGCACGTTATATCAGACTCAGACCCACAGCATGGTATCGTCATATATCACTCAGGATGGAGCTGTATGGTTGTCTAGGTATGGTAACTGTTACTCTTTGTCATTAATCAACATTAGCTTATGCTTGGAGTACCTCCTCATCCATGTATATTGTCAATTGACAAACAGTTCTGCTAACACATAAACATTATCTAGGGATTGCAACTGGGTGCTAGAACTAAAGTTCTAATTTTGGGGGATTTTGTAGACGGAATTAAAGGGTAAGGATGTTGATGTGCAGTTGATTGACAAAAGATGTACAAAATTAAGGAAATGTTTTGGTGAACCAAACATTTGGTACTGGTAAATATAAGCACTTGGTAGCAAACATTTTATTTTCCATATCATGCGGTAAATTTTGTTGCTTGCATTATGATGAAAGTCATTTTGTAGGGATAACATGACAATATATTTTACTTGAGATGTTTCTCATCTTGTAGGTTCAAGTTAGTTAAGGACTAGTATTTCACACCAATTTTACAGTATTCACAAAAGGCCAAAAATTTATATTAAAACCAAACAGTTTGAGGTTCTATTTTCTCGGCTATTTGGTGTTAATTTGCTCAAGAACAAGTTTCAGCTGGTTAGTTTGACATGAAAGCAACCATGTTTTCCAAACTTTTTCTAAGTTGATTTACTAAAAGCATTATAATTTGCTAAACTGTCTGTTCTATGAAATGCCCCAATTACAAAGTTTTTATTTCACTAATTGTTTACAAAAACACCTGTCTATTCCAATAAAGGAAAATGCAATTAGAAGTAAGTCACTGGTTCCCAGGATGGTGCAAGTTATGCTAAGACATCTGATTGTTTTTGTGACTTCTTGATGAGCTATACTTATGAAATTCAGGGGATTTCTCATTTAGATTTGAAGTTAACGAACCTGAGAGCAATCTGGGAATTTTCCATAGATCTCATCCATCATATAGGATACTGTACCTGCATGCTTTAAAATGAGTAAATTCTTCAATTACTATTTTGTGAGATTTTTCAGATTATGAGAACTGTTTGCTATAATTATTGTGTGAGTGTGAATTGTGTGGTTCTGCATCTGCAGTTATCTGGTAAGAAGTCTTGTTACAGTAACTATATTTACACAAGAACCGATGTATTGCAAAATGTCAAGCCAACAAATTGCATATTTTGCATGACTGTAAAATAAAACTGCTCTTTCACTTTCTTTATTTCTGTAAAGAATGTTCAAGTGCTCTTGGTATGGAGAGTCGCCACATCAAAGATGCTCAAATCACTGCATCTTCACAATGGGATAGAAATCATGCGGCATTCCAGGGAAGATTGAACTTTAAGGCTGGTGGAGGTAAACAGGGAGGATGGTCAGCTCGGTCGAACAATGGAAATCAATGGATACAGGTGGCTCTTGGCAGTTACACCAAATTAACAAGTATAGCAACACAGGGAAGGAATGCTGATAGCCAATGGGTAACAGCATACAAGCTGCAGTACAGTGAAGATGGAGTGAACTTCTACTACTATAAAGTACCAGGACAGAGTTTACCTAAGGTAAATGTAGAGGCAGTAACTTGGTTTAAAACTGTTGAAAATATATTCTTATGTCTGCACAGTATACAGGTAACAGTTATTATATGTTGCAAGTAGTCCTATTAATTTATCTGCAACGACCATTAGGGGCTTATAATGCAGTCTACCATGGAATAGGTTAATAATGCCACATATCTAGCCTGGCATTCAAAATTGGTCTTTCTTGACTTTCTCTTGCATATTTACAACAAGTGCAATAAACACGTTACAATTTTAAATGTTAGTTGAAACTATTGGAGAATCATGCATAATCCAACAGGAATGGCATGACTGTGGTAGCTGACTACTAATATTACTTGCATGTATTTGTAGGTATTCAAAGGAAATAAAGACAGAGACAGCATTTTTTATCACCAGTTAAACCCACCCATCAAAGCTCGCAACATCAAACTTCGACCAACATCGTGGTATAATCATATATCGCTAAGAATGGAGCTGTATGGTTGCTCAGTAGGTATGATTATTATCTTACACCAACTTATTTGGCACTGAAAATTGGAAGGGTGAAACACGTGTTTTGATTATAACCAGCATAATGCTGAAATATGGATATGGCAAGAAACTCCAGATTGTTAGATGCTACATTATGACATAGGTAGAAAAATTTCTGCTTGATCGAATTTTGTCTAACTTTTAACTTTTCAATAGAACTGTACGTACCTACCCACAAACATACCTACATACCTCTGTACATAAACACACACTCATAAACTGTTCTTTTACCTTCTTTGTTTCTGTAAAGAATGTTTGGCACCTCTTGGTTTGGAGAGTCGACGCATTAAAGATGCTCAAGTCACTGCATCTTCGCAATGGGATGGAAATCATGCAGCAATCCAGGGAAGATTGAACTTTAAGGCTGGTGGAGGCAAGCAAGGAGGATGGTCAGCTCGGCAGAACAATAAAAATCAATGGATACAGGTGGCTCTTGGCAGCTACACCAAATTAACAAGTATAGCAACACAGGGAAGGAATGCTCACAGCCAGTGGGTAACAGCATACAAGCTGCAGTACAGTGAAGATGGAGTGAACTTCTACTTCTATAAAGTACCAGGACAGAGTTCACCTAAGGTAAATGTAGAGGCAGTAACTTGGTTTAAAACTGTTGAAAATATATTCTTATGTCTGCACAGTATACAGGTAACAGTTATTATATGTTGCAAGTAGTCCTATTAATTTATCTGCAACGACCATTAGGGGCTTATAATGCAGTCTACCATGGAATAGGTTAATAATGCCACATATCTAGCCTGGCATTCAAAATTGGTGTTTCTTGACTTTATCTTGCATATTTACAACAAGTGCAATAAACACGTTACAATTTTAAATGTTTGTTGAATCTATCGGAGAATCATGCTGTTGTATCCTCCTAATGCATATACTATGCCTTGGATTCGTACAGATAAGATTTACACACTCATCGACCATGTGCTTCTTCTTTTATTACCTACTTCATATATGAGTACATGAAGCCTGTCTGCGCTCAGTACGTCATGTAATACATGACATCCCTCCTTTTCTTGAAGAAAGAAAACAATAGTCCTTAAGACTTAATCAAAACAAAACGTGCGAATCTGAAAATTGGACGGAGAGCTGGTAATAACTAATTCGCTTAATTTCAACACGAGATTCACCGGTTCTAAGCAGTCCTTGTATCAAAACAACATTTAACATTTCGAATCAAAGTTCACTGTTTCAAACGAAGTTCAACATTTTAAAACAAAGTCTTTATATCTCCCAGGGAGTCTCCTCTGTCTCTGAGGTCTTCCACCTTTTGGTGTTGCTGGTGGGCTAGGTACTGTTGCTTGATCAACTGCTGCATTCTTACTAGCAGAGGTTGTACCAGATTTGCTTCCTGCACTTGCTTGTGCTAAAGGTGTGAGATGAGTTAGGGGTCTACTGGGAGGTGTTGTAGGCACTACTGATGTAGATCCACTCATCACTTGATTTGGTACCACGGTAATTTCAGGTGTTGTCGGTACATCGACACTGACAGGTGGTTCTTCCGGATTGTCAGGGCTCACAAACTTCTTGACATGGGATGTATTCCTTGAATACTGCGTTCCACCTGGAGTTTCCACAACAACACTGTTACCGGTCTTGCTAACCACTTGGAATGGTACTGGATTAAATGGCGTGGAAAACTTGTCTCTTTTCTCTTGCCTCACCAGGACTTGATCACCAACTTGAACTTCTGATGGTTTTGCATTCATGGATTTATCAGCTATTACTTTGGTCTTTGCTTTCACTTCGGCATCTCTATCTCGAGTTTCCAGGTCCAAGTGATGGTCGGCACGTAGCTCTGGTAGCTTTCCTCTCATCTTTCTGTTAAACAATAATTCCGCAGGGCTCTTACCGGTTGTCGCGTGATCAATACCTCGGTATTTAGTCACATATCTTCTTAGCTCCTTCACCCAGTCTAATCCTTCGGCTTGGGCAATGCGGATCCTCTTCATCAGCGATGCATTTTGTCTCTCTACTTCCCCGTTGGCTTGAGGCCATTTTGGTGTGGTCTTGGTGTGAACAATTCCATTCTGCTTACAATATTCCCGGAATTCTTCGGAGCGGAATTGTGGACCATTGTCTGACTTTATGGTCAGAGGAAGGCCATGGCGGCTGAAAATCTCTTCCAGGTTGTCAATTACTTTCTCTGTGACGGTTGACATCATGATGGCGTACTCATAATAACGACTGTAGTAGTCCACAACAACAATGATTGAGTGTCCCGAAGGAAGTGGTCCTAGGAGGTCTATAGCTAGGTTTTGCCAAGGACCTTCTGGCAATGTCGTGGATCTCAATGGCTCAGGTGGGTCTGGGCGAGATACCAGTTGACATCCGTGACAGGACTTGCAGAATTTCTCTGCTGCCTTATCCATACGAGGCCACCACACCTTACTTCTTAAATTTTGCTTTGTTCCCACAATTCCTAGGTGTCCTTCATGGGCTAAGCTGATTGCCTGAGCTCTGAGTTTGTTTGGTAACACAATACGGGTACCTCTCAAGACTAGCTGTCCAATCACACACAGTTCTCCTGCGGCTGGTGCATAGTTTTTGCACTTCTCAAATCTGCCAGTTTTAATTGCTTCTCTCAGGACTTTTAATTCTTCATCTGTTGCAGATGCTTCTTCGACTTCTCTCGTGGTTAATGCTTGGGGAGTGGCACTGATAGCTGCGAATCGGATGTACTCTTCTGCCCCATGTGGATGACTCGTCACTTTGTCTTGCTTAAGCAGGCGGGAAAGAGGATCAGCTATATTATTCTGCCCTGGAGTATATACAATTCGGAAGTCGTAGGGTTGTAACCGTATTGTCCACCGTTCGATGCGGGCACAGGGCTTGGAACGTGGCCCGTAGATGACCTCCAACGGTTTGTGGTCAGTTACCAGATCAAATTTCATGCCATAAATGTATGCATGATACCTCTCACATGCCCAAACGAGAGCGAGGGCTTCCTTTTCGGTCTGGGAGTACTTGCGCTCACACTCTGTCAAGCTGCGGCTTGCATAGCAAATTGGCACCCATGCTTCATTTTGGTTCTGTAGTAACACAGCTCCGAGGCCGACTGGACTGGCATCAGCTATTACTTTGGTTGCTGCGCCTTTGTTAAAATATGCAAGTGTTCCTGCGTCAGCCATGCTCTGTTTCAGAATCTTAAAAGCGGTTTTCTGCTCAGGTCCAAAGTGGAATGGAACAGCCTTTCTGGTCAAGCTCCTTAGTGGCTCAGTGATAGTAGCGAAGTGAGGAATAAACCTGCTGCTATAATTGGCCAATCCCAGGAAGCTTCTTACTTCGCTGACGGTGGCAGGTTCCCTTGTTTCTTGCAAGGCTCTGATTCTTTCTTCTGTTGGGCCTATCCCTTTTCAGAGAGAAGAATTCCCATGAAAATCACTCTGTCCACATTGAATAGGCATTTGTCAGCATTGAGAGTTAAGCCATGCTGCTTGAGGCGTTCCATTGTCTTATATAGGCGTTGGTCATGAGTTGCCTGATCCGGGCCATGTACTATGATGTCGTCAGATATATTATCGACTCCTTCTATTCCAGCTAAAGCTGTGGATATCTCATGTTGGTACTGCTCACTCGCTGAACACACGCCAAATAATAGACGTTTGTACCTGTACAAGCCTTTGTGCGTCACAAAGGTGGTGATCTGTCGTGACTCTGAATTAAGTTCCAATTGGTGGTATCCCCACTTTAAGTCTAACTTGCTAAAGACTTTGGAACCATTCATATTGTGTAGCAGTTCATCTACAGTTGGTATTGGGTATCTGCCACGTACTATGGCCTTGTTCGCTTGTCTCATATCGATGCAGAGGCGTATGTCACCATCTGCCTTTGGTATGATCACTACTGGATTTACCCATGGTGTAGGCCCGTCTACTTCCTCTATAATATCACAATTCAACAACTCTTGAACCTTCTTTTCTACCTTCTCTTGCAGATTGAAAGGAATTCGCCTCAGGGGTTGGGCTACTGGTTTCACTGTTTCGTCTATGTGCAATGTTACTTGCTTGGACTTCAACTTTCCTATCCCACTAAACACTTCAGGGAATTTTTGCTGCAGCGTCTGTTTGCCTTCAGCAATTGTGGCAATGTCAATACCTATTTTCAGCACCCCCAACCTCATTGCGGTGTCTTTGCTTAAGAGTGGTATTCCCTTTCCTTTGATAACCAGGAATTCGGTCTGGACTCTTCCTCTGCCCACTAGTACCTCACATGTGAAGCTACCTTTTACTGGGAGGGGTTTGCTGGATGCATAAGCGTACAATTTTCTGTCAACGGGAGCTGCTTGTGATTTACACTTGATCTTTTTAGCCTTCAGATCTTCCCATGTACATTCATCGATAATGTTATTGGTGGCCCCAGAATCCACCAACATTTCCAATTCTACTCCACCCACAGACAATTTGAGCATATTTGACTGACCTTTATTGGTGACCCTGAATGCATAATCGACTTGCTCCCCATCGGTTTTTTGTTCTTCTTGCACCTGATTGACTCCTGGCTTCTTTGGTTTGGTTTTGCAGACACTAGCAAAGTGACCTTTCTTTTACATTTTTTACATGTTTGACCTCTGGCAGGGCATTTCGGATCTCCACCAAGGTGACCACTCCACCCACAACGAGGACACTGACTGTCTCTGTTCTTGCTCTCTTTGTTTCTTTGTTGATCTTTTTGGTCTCCTAGGTTTTCATAGACCCTGTGTGCTTCTGTAGTCTGTTCACTCAAGCTAAGCTGAGACATTTGGTGTTCTACACTTTCACACTGTTCTGCAAGCTCTAATGTGCGTGCGAGAGTAAGTTCATCTCTTTCTTCAAGCAATTTACGTTTGACATAATCTGACCTGCATTTGCATAAAATCGCATCTCTTATCTGATTGTCAAAGTCTGCCCCAAAATTACAGTCTTTCCCTTCTTTTCTCAGTCGGGTTACAAACTGCAAAACGGTCTCACCTGGCTGTTGTTGGAGTCGGTGAAATTTTTGACGCGCAAAAGCGGAGTTAACTTTGGGAGAAAATAGCCATTCAGTGCTGTTACAGCGGCGGCGTAGTCCGTTGCTTCGCCGGTGTTCGCGAGAGTAGAGAAGATTTCTTGCACATCTTGTCCCGCTAAATGGAGTAGCATAGCTCTTCTTCGTTGTCTGGTTGTTGTATTTGTACCTTCAGTGATAATCAGACCTTTGCCATCGGCAAACAATTCAAAAGATGTGAACCATCGCGTCCAACGTGGTCCTAACGTGGTAGGTTCCGAGTGACAATCGAACTTAGGAATCCCATTGGAAGCGCCATTTTCGCTCAAAGACATCTTGTGTCTCACAGAATTATCCTCGTCGCCAATGTTGTATCCTCCTAATGCATATACTATGCCTTGGATTCGTACAGATAAGATTTACACACTCATCGACCATGTGCTTCTTCTTTTATTACCTACTTCATATATGAGTACATGAAGCCTGTCTGCGCTCAGTACGTCATGTAATACATGACACATGCATAATCCAACAGGAATGGCGAGACTGTGGCAACTGATTATTAATTTTACTTGCTTGTATTTGTAGGTATTCAAAGGAAATAAAGACAGGGACAGCATTGTTTATCACCAGTTAAACCCACCCATCAAAGCTCGCTACATTAAACTCCGACCAACAGCATGGTATGGTCATATATCACTAAGAATGGAGTTGTATGGTTGCTCAGTAGGTATGATTGTTGTCTTACACTTGTTTTGGCACTGAAAGTTAGAAGGGTGAAACGTACATGTTTTGATTACCAGTGTAATGCTGAAATGTGGATTCTGGAGGAAACGCTAAATTGTAAAATTTATAACTTTTTTTTGGTATTTAATGTTGCTAGTAAGCTTTAGTGGAGATTCCAGAATGTCTTCCTTTTGAGGCGGGTCAGTCTGTCCTGGGCTGGCAGCAACATGGTGCAGGAAATTTATTACGGGATAAGAAAAGCCTTTAGTTTGATCTGTCTTACAGCGAAGTCCGGGCTCAGATGGCATTCCTGTTGAGGTTTTACCGTAAGCGAAATCAGCGCTCTCTTGCCACCTGCTCCTACGCCGGTGCTGGGAGTGGGTATGAGTATGGGCTGGGCTGGGTTGCTTAACCTTGCACGCACAAGAACCAAAATCAAAGTGTAGTGAGTCGTGGGCCGGGTTGTTCAAAGCTGGGTTAAGATAACCCAGGGTTAGTTTGAAATCTGATTTGAAATCTGAAAGCTTTAAAAGAAAATTCATTATAATGTTATTTGTGTACAATTTTAAGATAGGATGCCCTAAAAAGAACAGAGAAAATTATCCAAAAGGGCATTTGAACAAAGTAATAAAGATAGCTAAATTAAAATTGAGCCCTGGCTGAGTTCCTTGCTAATCGGCCTTGTAACAGTCTTTGCCGCTCTGACGTCCCACATTTAGGTGGGCCTTTAGTTTCCATCATTTCCATTACTCCTGCGTTTTGACTTTTTCTACGAATAAAATTCGCCTTTAGCTACCTTGAACTTAACCCAGTCGCTTGTTAATTCCTTTTAAAACAACCTGCATTTTATTACTTATTTTTCACACGCAGGGCAAAGTCTAGATGGGCAACAACTAATCAAGGAGCCCTCTCTGATATTATCGTTTGCTCTTGTTCAGTGTATCTTCACTTATTCGAGATCGCATTATATCTTTGGTTATGGTCTAGTAGAGGTACAACAGAGTTTCAATTTGCTTTTCGTAGTAAAATTACGCGGAATTTTTTTTTAGGCAACTTATTATAGACGAATAATTTTGATTTTCTCTATGTTCGAGGGACGGCGGTAAGTATTTCTTTTTGCAACCGTTATTTGGTCTCGTCACGCAACGCACTCTCTCCAACGGGAAATGGAGGGCGTTGGCTGACGAGAATAAACAACAGCGGCGAAGTAGACAACAGTAAGCGTGGCACCGATTTCATTTTTACTTAGAAATATTTAGGTAATAGACCACAAAATATCTGTGTGAGTTCAGATAAATTAGGTTTTTTCTGTCTTTCTCTTAAGGTGAAGTGATGCGATATTTTCGTTCTTTTGAAAGTTATGCTCTTTTCAGTTACAAAACTGAAAACATTAAGTATACAAACTGTCGCCTCTCGACCCACACAGCAAAAAAATTAACTTTTGCATGCTACGCATGCCTATGTTCTAATTTGTGTCAACTTACTTGTTTCGAATCAGTTATTTCAGTTTTTTTTTGGTTTATACATATTTCCAATCGAGATTGTATGTACTATCCGATTCTAAAATTTTGTATGTTTATACTACTATACTTGTATATTTTCACTAAAAGCTCCTGGAGTAAATGTCCTCTGCGGCGATAAAACCATGACCATTGTCATCCCAAAGACCCTCCTCCGTGGTCTTGATTTAAAGAATCTTCGACTCCTGGACACCAAATGTAAAGGCAAAGAAGGACGGACCCACCTTAGCGTTACAACATCATTGACGGGCTGTAAAACTGTCAGCAGATATACACCCACAGCTATCATCTACTCCAACACACTGAAAATACCCGTGGCCGCTAAAAGTGCTGTAACACGCGTACATGACATAAAAGTGCAGTTCAGCTGCTATTACTCAGCGCATGGTATAGTTTCATCGCTTGGTTGGACGCCAATTAAAACAACACTTGAGCTTCGAGAAGAGGCCAAAGGGAACTTGACACTGTCGTTGAGAATGTTTCACAACAAGGCATTTGTGAATCCTTACACGAAAGTTGATTTCCCTGTTGCTGTGGAGCTGCATAGGCGATTGTACTTTGAGGTATCCGTGGCAACAGATGACAAAAAGCTGTCAGTCAGGGTTGATCGATGTTATGCCACGCCCACCCGGGATCAAAAGAATTCTCTGAAATATGAGTTTATAAAGAAAGGGTATGTTTAGTAATAAATTTTTTGGACACTTAATTTCTACTCCTTTTGAAAAATTACTCTTGGTTTATTTTGCGGTCACTTGAGACGTTTTCCTAAGCAACTAATAGTTAGTTACAAGTAAGTAAAATTGGAAACACTTCGCAATCTTGAATTCCATGATGATCAACATAAGTTAAAAAAAAAAAACTTTTGTTAAGGATATTCTTAGGCATAATTTCACCTTGATCAAGGAAATTTGCTTTACTTTAGCTGCCCAAGTGACGTAACGGTGAAATATCATTCATCGCCTTCTTCTCGTGCTCAGCGGTTCAGCGTGGAAGCCTTTAAGTTCATTAGTGCTCATCCCTTTGTTTTCGTCCACTGCCAAGTGACTGTATGCAATGCAACCAACCCAGGTTCCAAATGCTCGATGAAATGTCCTTCAAGTGGCCGAGGGAAACGTGAGCTGAGTGATAACGTGACTTACGACGTGTACTCTTTAGTCCAGGGACCCCTGCACCTGACGCACGAGAAAAGAAAGGAGAACGGCGGGAGAATACTGGGTGAGACTGGTACGTAGATGAGCTGTTTCCGGGGACACATATTAGGGATGCATCCTGAGGATAAATTCTACCCCGGCCCCCAGTACCCCATGGATCCCCATGGACCCCTCAAGATTTTTCTGATGACTTTCCCCATTCCCAAAATGATTCACCCTTCTTTGTTTGTATATTTTTTTCCCGACCTAATTACAAACTTATTGTTACGACATCTTAAACCAGCATGGTACAGTATGACGCTTCGCAAGTGAGGATTTTTCGACTTTGCAGTGAAATTTCTTTTGAATTAAGTCTAAATTCCCCCTTTTCTGTGACATCCCTAGGTTCCAGTCCTCACATTCCGGAGGCTCTGTCCGCTGACAATCATCACAAGTAGCTTCAAACTCATTTACACTTGGACTTGACCTGGACTTGAACCACTGAAGGATGTTTGAGCTGGATATTCGTGTAAAGGGTGTTTAACAAGTTCGTGCTCATTTTTTAAAAAAGGCTATATCTTACTTATTTTCGCATTCTGGAAGCCGTATCTTTAAAAAAAACAATTACCTGAATTTACAAAAGTTTATTTTTACAGAAATAATTTCTGTGGTGGCGAACCGACCATTAAAAAGCACTCGCTTTTCACGTAAGAAAATTTTTTTTTTTTTTTTTTATTATTAATTTTTATATTATTACTTCAAGGTAACTGAAGAAACGTATTTGTGCTAAATCCTGTTATCCTTCTACTTCTCTAGCTCAAGCATACCTCTTATTTTAAGACGCTGAATAATCTCAAAACTGACGAAAAAAAATATGCGGAACAACATCAACAGCAAAACAAATGTAACTTACAAACAGTTTTGTTATTTAAGTTCGGTTTTGAGATTACTCACTGATCTAACTCAAACAGGACTGTCGAAAAGATTTGATTTATGTAAGGGTGCCTGCGCCTATATTTTTCAGTTCTCCTTTTGTAGTACGGGATGACAGAACTGGCTCTTCAATCAGCTGTTAGTCGAAAAGGGATTGTGACTGAAAGGATTTTTAAACCCGTCTTTAGAGGAGCTAAGATGGTTTAAATACTTTTCTCTTTTAACGTTAAAAGGCGCGTTACAAGAGACGATAACCACTGAATGCTAGTTTGCTGAGTTATAGAAAAACTCAGCAGCACTTTTCTAGGAAATGAAGATGGTTTAGGATTGGCCATCCTTAGAAGCATTGCAGGTGATCAAGTTAAGAATTAATAGTATGACATCTTACTAATGAGCCAGCAGCTTTAAACGTTAATGATGCCGCATATAGTACTGTGATGGGACGGCAAGCAGAAGGTTACTGGACACGAAGAATTAGAACTTTCCTATTAAGGCGCTAGCACAAGACAATAATCCAAGATTGATTGAAGCTTCTGTTTTTGCCAGTCTTTGAAAATTGAAAAATAACTGCATTAAGCTTTTGAGGTACGGGATATTGAATCGAGGTTTTAAGTTTTACGGTAATGATGAAGAGTTAATAAGGAACATCAGCTGGTTGACAGAGCCTTTTTCTCAAGTTTAATATTTTATTTTAAAGAAATGGTGAAGGGAAATGATGTGGGTATTAACTTACACATAAAAACAGACAGTGCTCTTACATACACGAGTGATTGGATGTTACGAGAGCATGAGGTTGACCATAATGGATAAGATGTTTTCATCTCGGAAACTCTCTGCTCAAGATATTTTTGATGTGGTGTTCAGTTAATACTTAGGTATCCTGCTAGGGAGCTGTTGCTTGAAAGTAAAATAAATTGAAGAAACAGAATTTTGCCCTCATTTATTAGATCACATTCAAGACGTAAAATGACTCGTTGAGCCTTTGGAAAAAAAAAAGCGGGAAAGGTTGAATCATTACCTTCGTCATTGTCGTTATCATTTGTAAATCATTTGAGCTTTTCTCGTAATTGGAATATGTTTCTTAACATACAATAGAGATGTTATCTCGCCAGCTTTAGGTTCAGCAATCATCAGCCTCATTTCCTTGTTTACCTACTCACTTAGTTTTCCACTTAGTTAAGGAGTCTCCAACGTTGCCCAAATCAGAGTGGCAGTCAAGTATTTGCACAACGTATTCGTAATGTTATAAGTGATTTGGGAGAGATTTGTCATCTACTTTTTCCCTTCCTTGTGGACTTTTAAAGTCATCGAAATCGTTCACTAGGCTTTGTATCGTGATAGCACGGTGCCGTTCATAGCTGAAAGATGTTTTGTGACGTGTCTTTAAATTTTGAGCTGTTCAAAAACTGCAAATTATGGAAAGATTGTCAAAACGGACTTACAGTTAAAACCTACTATTTTAGCGTACGTCTCTTAAATTGTTGATAAGTCAGGTAACTTTCGAAACACTGCGAGTTGCAGAACGTGATCAAACTGTAGTTTTGAGTACTCCATTTCAGTCTAATTTTTTTTCACCCAAGATCCTGTGAGCCATTTGTGGGAAATAACGCCGGGGGGTGGGTGCACGCCTTCGCTTCGCTCACTGCTCACGCTTTAAATGGGAAATGAACGTTAGCTCTTTATCAATTGTTCCCGAAATGCATCATCAGAAGTGTTTTCATCTAATCGTTTACCCGTTTCGTAATTATTTGGTTTACTGACAATCCCATTCCTTGCAATTGAAAACTTTATTCTACGGCCCCCCTCATAGGCATTCACGCTAAACGGAACTTTTTTTACATTTCCATTTGTAACCTACATTTTATTCACTTGTGCCATAAGATTCTTTCTCTTCCTATCATCTTTACCTCTTTCCCTTTATCAAAGGTGGTACTTGCCACCCACGATAGATTGCCGGTATCTGATGAAAAGTCAGACCAACGGGATTCGAAGCCGTTTATCCTAACAAATTCTTGTTCCTCCGCATTTTTTGAGAAAACTCGGCGGCGTTCTCTGAAATCGTTCTCTGCAATCAGAACGACCTCGCACACGCGTTAGAAGAATAAAAATTTTTTGTCTACTTATAATGATCTCGTAGCCATATCGCTTGCTTCATGCATACATTCCTAAAATAGTACAAAGATTTTAATGTGAGTTTGTTGACCGCCCCTACACGATTAAGAGCTTCTTCTAAAGGAAATTCTGTCTTATCCGGAGGAAACACGGATCGTTGATTAAGTGATGGAGAAACTTAGCAGAAAAGGAGTTACATTGAAATTTCAACAATGTCCAGGAGAATTCATCCCCACGATTTTTCTTCGCAAAAGGAGCACAGGAGGATATGGAGTTAACCTCAATTTGAAGAACGTAAGTAAATTTATTAGTAACCATCATTTCAAAAATAGAACAGAAGAATATAGCGTCATCCATAATTTGAAGAACTTAAATCCATGTATCAGAAAACAATAATTTCAAATTAGAAAGCTTGACTTCAGCGGTCTGTCTTATGACACGTGGGTGTTACACGACATCTGAAAATTACGAGATTCCTCTTACTCTGTCCCAGTTGACAAGAACTGCGGAAACTATTTAAAGTTCTCTTGGAAGGGGGATTGTTTTAGTTTACCTGCCTTCCCAACGGTCTGGAATCTGCTCTACGAGTTTTTTGCCAAACTGCTTAACCTTTCACATTAGTATGCAAATTCTCCTCACTGTTCTTTATATATTTCCTAATGTGCTGACAAGGAGAATTTGTTTGCTAATCAAAAGATTCCTTCCCTGGAGACCATTTCCTTTATTCTTAAGACCTTAATGCGTGATTCAGGGGTGACATTGTAAAGATAAATTAGATGCTAGTTACTTTGAGGGTATAAAGGTTTAAACCTGTTTATTCTATAAGACTGGGGAGGGAAAGAAATTTGTACCAAGGGGGCGGTCGACGGTCAAAAATAAGAAGAGGGTAGGGGTGGAGGAGTGAAGATTTCCCCGCCCCCCTTCCTGCATCAAACAAAACATGGCCGGTTGAATAAACGATCGCGAGCTAGTTAACGTTAACTCGCCCTCATAAGACGCCTGCACTAAAGGCTACCCCTATTCTGCTTTAGTTATAGCACTGTTGAGATCAACTGTGGGGGTTCATCTTCCTTTGATTTCTCACTTAAAGCCTCATTGCAAAAACAGTGGTCTTCGTCTCAGTCTTTCATTCATATTATGTCCACGTGAATGCACAGTTCCTTCAAACGAATGATCTCGTCATAAATGTGACCCTCTACGGGAAAACAGAGAATAAGGTGAACGCAAGGCAGCGATTGCTAGGCTGGTCGCTCTAGTCAGGAAGGATCAAGAGACAACAAGTCCTTTTCCAGTCTTCTTGGTTCTCTTCAAATAAAATCATTAAAGCTTTGTTTTGCTCATTCTGCTTTTTCCAAAAAAGAAATATCGGTAAGCGCCCTGTCCTTGATAAGCGCCCTGTCCCTAATTACCGCCTTGCCTCGAATGAGCGCCCTCCTTTGAGGTACCAAAAGTAAATAAGCGCCCCGAGCGCTAAATCGAATCATTACGGTGAATGCCGCGGCTGAAATTATACAGGGTCTATGAACACGCTTATTAAAATATCAAATCATACACATATACCCAAAGAAAACTGTCTATCAGCCCTTTCACTAACAGAAGGGAATCACATTCAGCTCCTCCTTACAATAACCTCACGTCATCCGACAAAAATGTGTAATGAGAATAGTCAAATATATCCGCTACATGCTAGTTTTACCTCGGTATAAAAAAATGATTGGAAGCTACAATCGTGAATTAATAATCACATCTTGGAAAAAAATATACTTAAAATCATGAGGTTGAGGGTCAGTGATGATTAGCCTAGAACCATGAATGAGATTGTTACAAAAGAACAAAATTCCTAAATTGATATGATTTGTTCACCAAGAAAAACCGAAACTACATTACATTCGTTTGAGTATGTTTCAGGGTCTAAAAAGACCTAAAGTGAAAAACTCGACTAAGTGGCATAAAAACGTCGCCAACAAGGCCTAAAACCTAATTACCTAAAACGTATTATGTGTTAAACTGTTTTATAAGTAATTTCTTAAGGAAAAAAAGAAAACTCACATAGCAAACAATCCAGAAAAAAGACGAAATCAGATTATACACTTTGCAGTAGACCTCTCTTGAAAGTAGGATTGTTCAAAACTTTACGCCCAAACCAAGAGAAAGTAAGGGGGTTATTTTCTCAGGCCTGAGTTGATTCCGCAAAATGAACGTGGAAACAAGTCAAGAACATTTGCATCTGTTTTATAGAACAATCAATCGATATCCTATTTTATAATCCATGACGCCGGACTCTAGCTTGACGTATGAAGGTCCTAGAGCTGCAATGCGTCCTTCAGTGCTCACTGCAATCTTATACAGGAAATAGCCACTTTTGTAGATAAAAACGCTTCGTACAAACTCACCATCTTTGGTGTATATTCCAATACAGAGGAGCTCTTTTTTCATCGTCAGTACTAGCCAAGACGACTTGTTGACTTTCCCTGTGAAATGCAATGTTTGGAAAGTGAACAAACCCTTTGAGATCAAACTTACTTAGATGATCACCGAGTTCGCTAAATATGTGTACACAGTGGGAAGGCGTTTGGTCCACCACCATAACTCTGCCATCACTTACAGTGCTGATGTCTCGCGGGCTCTTCAAATTTTGTTCTCCAAAACTGCAAACAAACTGACCATCAGTCTCGTATAGATCCAAAAAATGATAGTCCTTTGTATAATTGCCTTTCAATACCATCACTTTGCCACTATCACTAACTGACAGTTTACACAGATTGCACTCGAGGTCCATTGTCCTCTCGCGAAACTTGTGATACTGGTCAGCGGATTTATCAAACTTAAAAATCCAACGCTGATGATTCTTTTCTTCAACCAGCACATAAATGTTGTCGTTTATGTCTGTCGCCAGTTTAACCTTCCAGTTTTCTGTAAATAGCTCTTTACCATTGTCATCAATAAGAGGAGGAAGTCTGAAACACTTCACAAATTTGCCACTATTGTCAAACACCTTGATTGTCAAGTCATAGTCGGCTACAATATATTGCCCGCTTGCGTTGGTAGCGATATCTAGTGGATTTTTTATCCTGTGCTCCTTCTCACCATCCTGACCAATTGTCCATGATAGATCATACTGCTCCATACCTTGTTCACGTAGTAATAGAGCCAGTCTCCTGTCATGCAGTAAGTCAACTTTCTCATCTCCTGTATCGACATTGGGCCACTCCAGGAGTAGAAGCCCTCTGCTGCATATAGCTTGTGTGACATCGAAGGCGACACGATTGACGCGACAGACACCGGAAATGATTTTTACTCGTTCTTCTTGGTAAAACAAACCCATCACCGCACTGATTCCTGTCTTGAGCTGTACTTTAAAGCTTTGCTGAACCGTTGGAAGACCGTTTAGCTCTTTAATACATACTTTACACGGTGCTACAGCATCGGATGGATTCTCTATTGCCTCTAATACTGTTGCCATCACTCGGTACTGCATTGCTAAAATGCGGTCAATTGTTGATAGTGCTTCATTTGAAAATGCTATCGTTGCCATTTCACGGGCACGTTCGAATCTCTTCTTCGCAGTAGAAAGCTTTCTTGTGGCAGATTCAGTAAGCTCCAAATTTCGCATTCTTTCAGTAAGCGACACAACTTCCGCACAAGTCGCTTGTGCTGTATCCGCGCCAAACTCACTCTTCGACCTTGTCTCGTCAAATCCTTCATACAACAACTCGATTCCTTCTCTAAAGAAGCTGATACTTGCTAGCAAATCTTTTCTTGATAATCCATCCAACTTGGAGCTCATGTCGTCGATTTCACTCATGATGATGTTACGAAATTGTTTATGTGTTACATCGCTTAGCTTTTCGACTGCTTTATCTCTGCCTTTATGCACAAGCCATCCAAAAGTCGCTTGAAAAACTGCAATGGGGATCACGGCCATGATAGCAATTGAGGAAAATCAGAGGAAAAATACGTTTTTAACGGGACTCGATAGAAGTTCCTTGTCTACGACAAGTGAGTGTAACATTAGGATTATCGAATTCCTCAGCCGTCAGCAACACTATTGGCAGTTGTGTTAATCTGCAGAGCAGCCAGCTGTGTCACTCGAAACCAAGGTCAACACTGCGGTTTAATTTGTAATTACACCGGTGCGATAAAGGTTACGCTTGTGATCGTGGATTGAGGAGTTTGGAGTGTGGACATAAGAGGTAGAAAATAAAAAAAAAATTTAAAAAGAAATGCACGAATAAACAAAGAAAAAAAAGCGAAAGGAAGGCCATGATGTTAAAATGAAAAGGCAAGTCTTGGCAGTTTCAAGAAAAAAAAAGAAAAGAGCCTCTCCATGTACCGTTCTCGGCAAATTATTTCCCCCACAATGTTCTCTCGCTCTACAGATTAGACATAATTCGTGGATTTATTCCACATTTCAAACTAAGTTGTAAACTGAGATGGTCTAAGAAACTGATCCCATAAAGAAGCTCTAGTGGGGGTCTATCCTACTTTAATAAATTTTGTTATTGTTTTTGTTCGTTTGGTGAGGTTCATGTTCTGTTTTCTTAAAATAAGCTTCCATTTTTTCATCATTTATCTCCTTATTCATTTGTTTCTTGTGTCAATTCAAAACTGTTCCAAAAAGAGATCATAGACAGTTTGTATTCTTTTGGTTCCATACTTAAGCTCATCTAAAACTTGGTTTTGATCTCTATGAATCCACTTTAACTTTAAGATAAAACTATCCTGGACCCAACACCTAAAAGAATTGGTATTTTTAAAATGAGTTCTTCGAGGCATATGTTCTTTGATGAATTAAATCAATTTTTTAGTCTGTCATTTGGTTTTGAACGTTTTTCTTTCTTGCGGGAAGAAGGAGGAGCATCCTAACGTGACTCATTGTTTCAAAGCCTATAAATGTGCGAATGCTTCAATTTATATTTCCAGTTTTAAAGTACTTCGTCATTCCGCAATCCACTGTCGTCAACCAATTTTTCTTGATCTGCAGTCCCGCCCCACGTGATGTTCTACTTTTGACCTTGGAACCGAAATAATGGTCGCTTTACTTTAAAGTCGGAAAGTTACATTATACGATCCCGTCCGTTTGCAGCGTAAGCAGCTTCCCTAGATTCGGAAGCAATGAACAGAAACCTCAACAAGTAAAAAGGGACGATACAAACACCAACAGGGATTGAAAAACATTATCGAAAAAGAAGGAAGTAATTAGATTAATTATGTTAGATTAAAAATGTTTCTAAATTATTTTTTACCTCAGGGATTGGGTGACGATTAAGAGGTCAACTGCTTTACATGATATTTTGTCTCTGCTTTATAAGATGAATTGCGTTGCGACTGCAGAAGGCGGCCTCCGATAGAAGTGGTTCTTCATTGTATAAAGCCCAAGTCATAATCACCTCTCGCCTCTTACCACTAGCAAGTCTCTGCAGACTCAAGGAATAAATTTACTGAGCTACTCTTTCAACTTATCACCAATCTTCACACTACTCTCATATTAGCTTTACGTGTTGGTATTTCAGAAATTAACGAAATGACTGGTGGCTTTGTTTGAGTTGGGTAAACTTAGCAAAACTGCCGGGGAGAACTTATGACTATATCCACTGTGCAGCTCTTGAATTTCTTGAGAGATGTACTGAAGCTCCATAGCTCTAAAAGTTTAATTCATTTTCATATTTACTCAATTCTCCTCTTTCTGCTTGGCCTAAAAACTGGGCCGTGTGACCCTTTAGGTTGAAGAAGTTGTCTTTGAATATACTACCCGAACATTATCAATTGAAAAGAGAAAGAACCAACGAATTCAAAAATTTCTCAAGAAGCAAAACAAATGGAGGGAAACAGAAAAGAGGCAGGTCAAAATCAGTACCAGCTTTTAAGCATGTCTACGAATAACAGTCGACCAGAAGCTATAAACAGTCGCAACAGAAATAAACAGCTTTAAACCTGATCATTGATTAGTAACTCAATATATCATGACTCACAAGATGAACTCAAGCTGATAAACAACACAAAAAAATCACAATGATCATTCAATGATAATTCATTCTTCCTCATCAATTCAGAATTTTTTTTAAAAGGTACGGGAGGTTGGAGGCTGTGTGGCAAGAGTTGTATTCGAAGTTCAGCGAAATCATACAAAAAAGAAGAACATAAGGGAAAACACGAACAAATTCAGCAAGTGGTAAGATTTACTGGTAATTGATTATAATTCAGCTTTCACTAGATCCAAAAAAATGACATTCTTTATTAACGGGCAAGAGTTCCATCTTGCCCGCTTGAGTAACCGACCAGAGCAAAGGACTCACATCATCTCACCCACGTGATCTGCCAGCTATGAAATAATTAGCATTTACTGACAAGTTTGATTTGATCTCCAAGAATCATTATACTATTTCTTTTACCATCTAAATTTGTCACGCGTCAAAAATTCACTGCAGAAATTGGTCTTGTTTGAAAATTGTCACGCAGGAAACAACAGCTAAATAAAATACTAAATTTGATACATTCGACAACAAATTAAAAGCTAAAGTGTTCAAAACTACTTAAGCAAACATTACGCCTATCAAAACAATAACAGTCCACGCATTATGCTTAAAAGACTGATAAAAGCTAAGGTTAAAATTATCAAAAGATAGGAACACCATGTTTAAAATATAAAATTACGCACATATATGTGAGAGAGACTGGATATCAGCCGCTTTCACTTACAGAAGAGAATCACATTCAAGTTCTCCTTACAATATCCATACATTATCCAGTAAACTAGTAATGAGAATAAACAAATATCTCAGCTTATAGCTGTGTCAGACGTGTCACCTTGCCATGACATAAGAGAATATTTCCTCCCATTACAAGGAGATGTATGGCAGTTGCAATGTCCAATTTTATCACTATATCTATAGAAGTGAGGACCACAAGGCTGGTTTCCAAATAAGCATCATATCTCTGGCTAAGCCTGGAGTCATCAATAAAGTTCCTACATGATCAATGATGTAATACTTATTTTCCAAGAAAATTTCAAAACTGCATTGCATTTGTTCAATTAAATTCCAACGCATCAAAAGTTAATAAATTGAGGCTATAAAAGCTTTCATTTTAGGCATAAAACTTTTGTCTCAAGCTACATCATGCCGTGTGAAAAATAAAGGCATTGTGCTTATTATGTTAATTGCATGATTATTGATACAAAACACCAATTTATCGTTAATAATAATTAGTTAGTAAACTAAACGTGAAAATAAGAAGAGGAAATCATTGTGTTTTTTAAATGATGATTACTTTTTTTCCTAAATTTAGACTCCAGATTGCTAATGCAATGCGTCCCTCAGTGGTCAATGCAATCCCCTCCAGAGAAGAGGGCTCTCCCATATGGAAAAGAGTACTTCGCACAAACTCACCATCTTTGGTGTATATTTCTATATAAAAGATGTCTGGAAAAAGTCCCTGCCCACCGACCACGACGACTTGTTGACTTTCCCTGTGAAATGCTATTTTAGGAGTGTCCAGGGACCTTTGCAGATCAAACTTGTTTAGAAAACCACCTTGTTCGCTGCGTATGTGAACATCTGTTGGATTACATCCTTGCACCACCATAACTCTGTTATCACTTACAGTAGTGATGTCGCACCTGATAGTCAAGTTTTGTCCTCCAAAACTGCAAACAAACTGACCATTATTCTCATAAACATCCACAATATAACATCCCTTCTTCCAGTCACTCTTTAGTACCACCACTGTACCACTATCACTGACTGACAGTATACACTGCTGAAATTCGCAGCCCATTGTCGTGACGCGAAACTTGTGATGTTGGTCAGCGGTTTTGTTAAACTTAAAAATCCAGTATGGGTCCTCACCACTCTTTTCTTCGACCATGACATAAATGTTGTCATTCATGTCTGTGGCCAGCCGAACCGCTTGGGTTTTAATCGATAGCTCTTTATCGCTGTCATCAATGAGAGGAGGAAGTCTGAAACGTTTCACAAACTTGCCACTGTTGTTAAACACCTTGATTGTCGAGTCATCGTCTGCCACAATATATTGCCCGCTTGAGTTGGTAGCGATAGCATGCGGATAAATTTACCCGCGCTCCTCTCCGCCATCATGACCAAGTATCCATGGTACACTACAGTTCTCAATACCCTGTTTACAAAGTATTTTTGTTACTCTCCGATCTCGCAGCAGATCAACTTTCTCCTTTCCTGTATCAATCATAGGCAATGGTAGGAATGGTTCTTTTGTAAATGATTCTTTTACGGATACTGTGTGTGTGACATCGTAGGCGACACGATTGACAAGACAGACACCGGAAATAACTTTCCGTCGTTCTTCTTTATGAAATAAACTCTTTATTGCCCTGATTCCTGTCTTGAGCTGTTCTTGAAGACTTTGCTTAACCACTGGCAGACCGTTTAGCTCTTCAATACACACTTTACATGGTGCTACAGCATCCTCGGGATGGTCTATTGTTTCTAATATTGTTGCCATCACTCGGTACTGCATTGCTAAGATGCGGTCATTTGGTGATAGCGCTTCATTCGAAAAGGCATCTGTTGCTCTTTCACGAGCACGTTCGAATCTCTTCTTTGCATTGGAGAGCTTTCTTGCGGCAGACTCGGTAAGCTCCAAATGTTTCATTCCTTCAGTGAGCGACACAGCTTCCGCACAAGCTGCTTGTGCTGTATCCGCGCCATACTCACTCCTCGACCTTGTCTCTTCAAATACTTCATACAACAACTCGATTCCTTCTCTAAAGAATCCAATACTGGCTAACAAATCTTTCCTTGATAATCCATCCAGCTTGGACTTCATGTCATCGATTTCACGCACGATGATGTTACGAAACTGTTGATCTGTAACGTCGCCATCTTTAAGCTTTTCTGCTGCCTCATTTCTGCCTTTATCCACAAGCCATCCAATAGTCGCTTTGAAAACTGCTGTTATGATTGCAGACATAATGGCAGCTTGGAACTTAGTAATCGGAAGAAACTGGGAGCTTTTTTCAGCGAATCTTCACGATAAGTAACTTCTCCAGCGTCGATGAACGGAAAGGAAAAAACAAACGATGGCAAAATTTCAAGAATGATCGCAATTTTTGGAATGATAATTACTGTCAGCCCAAAAAATGAAACAAAACAGAACATAAAAAAGAGAAAGCTACCAAGGAATGATGGTGTGAAGATTTATAGCCTCTTCAAAGAATCTATGGTAAAAAATATATTTCTGTTTGAAAAATAGGCCGTTGTGGTCTTAAGTTCTTCTTTTCGCTGACGAATGATAATGTAAGCATCAGAAATCCCTGACTGGTATCAACAAAAGTGCAATTTAAAGCTCTTTTTGAAAAATGTTTTGTTTAGTGAAATGTTGCTCGTGATTATTGAGTACTGAGAAATTTCAATCACGTTCCGGCATCATTCGACTTCTCAAAGGAAATGTTGTTTGATGCCCGAGGCGAAAAAGGATGATAATTGTTCATTAATCTTCCTTAGTTCTTAGCTTTGTTCTCAGCTGTGATGTGTTTTAGAGTTTATTCTTTTATTTTTTGTTCTTTCTTTATCTTGTTACCCGAATATAGCTGTTATACTACAACTGGAGTTAAAACGGGTTCCTTCAACCAAATTTGTATTCGGCTACTCATCGGGTTTCGGCCCTACACACTTACGATCTAGTTTACTTTTGGAATCATTGAAATCCCTTCGCACGGCATGGGTTGAAAAGCGAGCCGTGTGAACTCGGAGGGTGAAAGACTGAGTTTTTATTTATAGACTCAAACCCATAGGCTAAATCATGATTTCAAACCAGATGATATCGTTTTCGCCCAGCTTTGCACTTTACAGTTGACAAAGAAAGGCTATTGAACATCACAATTTTGTTGTGAATAATATGTCTCTCATGCACGTCACTGCTGTTAGCCTTATTTGAGTGTTTTATGCGTCAGTAAGTATTGCAATGTAATCTTTTGAGGTTTTATGCATCAGTAAGTATTGCAATGTAATCAGATGATTAGAAAGTGAAAATGCAAGGCGAGCCACTCAGAACAAAACACAATATAAATCACTTAACTTTTTTCAGCAGCGTGTTTCTTTTGACAGTAAGTTTAACCAATTAAAAATAGTTATTGCTCTTCATAACATCAACAAATATTTAGCAAGATAAGGAAATAAAACTGTGAGTTTCTTGTTCTGACTCGAAAAAATTAAAGGAATCTTCCATTTTTTATAGGTTGTACCACGTGCGCCAGTCTATCGCGTCCTATTATATGGTCATGTTAAAATACTTTTTGACCGAGTTTGACTTGGCCGAATTTTTTTTCTGCTTGTTTCTTTTTCCTCTTTTTGTTTCCTCTCGTTTGTTTGTTTTGATTTTGTTTGGCTTTATTAAAGTAACACTGAACGTATAGCGATGTATATACAGAAAGTGTCACCCCTTCCAAATGGATATCACTGGCAAAATAAATTTCAGGACGACAGATAAATATTCTCGAAGCTACATGTACACCAGGTGTTCTTTCCACATCTTCTGCCCCTAATCTCCTGGTTCACTTTTTCTCGCCGATAATAAAGAACAATTTAACGAACTTTGAAGTGCCATGCACGATGACCTGTCTCAATTTTAAAAATTATTGTGATAAGAGTTTGAGATCCCTTTAATTAGCAATTAACGAGGAGTTAAGGAATGTGAGCAAGTGGCTGATAGTAAATAAGTTATCTCTTAACGTCAAAAATCTAATTATGTTATGTTCAGACCGTACCAAAAGCGTGTTGATTATGAAATGAACATAAACATCTTTAATTATAGCACCAATTCCCTTGTCACTCTGGAACCGAAAGACTACATAAAATACGTATAAATTAAAGGACTATTGCATAGACAGCTACTGAACATTTTGATGCGAGAGGATACTTATATTGATGTCCATACTTTCATTGATAAATTTAGAAAATTATAATCTTTTTTAGTTTTTGTAATACCTAATTGGCTTATCTATATCTTATCGTGCTGTTTTTCATTGTTCGTGTATATGCATGCTCCTAGTCATTTCCTCTGTTCAATTAAACTTGTTAATAAAGAATATATTTTAATGTTTGTCGCCCTCCCGCCTCGATTAGCTTCGCTATTTTGCGGGTAGAGATTGTTAGATATGTTTTTTAATTGCTAAAATAAGAAAATTTGTCTGTTTTGTTTGTGCGTAAACACAAGGTCCGATTACTGGCAACTGAACTAATCTTGAAAAGTTCATATGCCCGAAGGCTGCTCGTTGCATTTGACGCCTCGAGTGGATCGACGCATGAACGTTTAACTGATTGATTTTCGAAACAGGAATAAATCCTTGGGTAACATATTAGCGGGCTATATCAAACAAGGCCAACTGGGTAAAAGTTTCCTAGTCTCGTCTCTCCTGCGTTTAAGATTTCAATTAATACCTAATTGGCTTATCTATATCTAATCGTACTGTTTTTCATTGTTCGACTACAGACATGCTCTCCTAGTCATTTTCTCTATTCAGTAAAACTTGTCTTTGAAGAATTTATTTTTAATGTTTTTTTCCCTTCCGCCTCAATAAGCTTCGTTATTTTGCCGGTAGGGATTGTTAGATATGTACTTAAATTGCTAAAATAAACAAAAAATTGTATGTGCGCAAACACAAGGATCCGATTACTGGCAATTGAACTAATCTTGAAAAGTTTAATGTGGGCTGCCCGTTCATTTGATTCTTCCAAATGATCGACGCATGAACGTTTGGCTGATTGATTTTCAGGACAGGAATAGACCCGTTATAACATATTAGAAGGCTATATCAAACAAGGCTATCTGAGTAAAAGGTTCATCACTGCGTCTCTCCTGCGTTTAAGATTATTTTCAACTGAAGTAACTCAGAGTGGTTTCTCGACATTCATTCAAAGCAGAGTCGCGAGCACTTTGCATTCCGTTATTTTCGGAATGGTTTCTACTTACATGTACAACTGGCCGTTTATACTCCTGGCGCTTCCGTCGCTTTTTATCTCAATCAGTCGCGGTCATGGTAAGTAGTAAGCCTAAAAAACAAGCCGAGACACTCTTTCAAGGAAGCTAAAATAGGACAACGGAGTAAAATTCAAAAGTGAAACACAATCATTCCTAAAAAAAAGGTTTCTCAACGGTCGGATTAGATAATCGCAGATATATATTCTTTTACAGCCTGCGTTTGTTTTTCGAATTGAAATCTGACCGAAGTCCTTTTTTCCTCGAGGGATTCATCCAAGTAAAGTAGGTTTAGATGAAAATCAATCAGATTAACATTTTTTCTCGGAGTGAGCTTGGTTGTATTACTCAGTTTGGCCGATTGCATATCGATTTAGGCTTTAGGCTTTGAGTACTAGGAGCGAAGACTCACGCCGAGAATGGTAGCAAATATTGATAGCTAAAATGAAACAAACCTTAGAAACCATGCCAGATAGTGCTGGATCAGGCTTACTGTAATTTGCGAAACGAAACGAAATGAAAATCTGTAATTTGCAAAATGGAAATAATTAAGCTAATGATTTGCAAAATAGAAAGCGCAAATTAGAGATTTCTATTTTGCAAATCATTAGTATATCTCCATTTCGCAAATTGCAGATTTGTATTTTGCAAATCATTAGCATATTTCCATTTCGCAAATTACAGATTTCTAGAAATCGTTGTCGATGAATAATTCGAATGCGTGCCAGCACACTTACCTGACCGCAAATGCACATGGAAAATGTCGCAGTGTGTTTCTAGATGAAATATCGTGTTTGCGAAGAAAATGTAATTTCGCAAAGTTCACCACGCAGATTTTTCAAATCAGTAGCATATTTCCATTTTGCAAATTACAGATTTCTAGAAATCTGTAATTTGCGAAATGGAAATATGCTAATGATGTGCAAAATAGAAATCTGTCATTTGCGAAATGGAAATATGCGAATGATGTGCAAAATAGAAATCTGTCATTTGCGAAATGGAAATATGCCAATGATTTTTTCTCGGAATGAGCCCGGTTGTAATACTCGGTTTTGCCGATTGCTTATCGATTTCGAAAGATCAACTCAATGTATGTTCCTGGAGGCGATGTGTGCAATGGGCTCGAGCGAAATGGTGGCAAATATCGATAACTTAAATGAAACAAACTTTAGCAATCCATGCCAGCTAGTACTGGATCATGCAAAGATGTAAGTGAGTTAGTTGTTGAGGTAATGAAAATATCTGGAATCGCTGAATGTCGAAGCCGCAATTAGGAAAGGTGTTTGCGTGGGTAATGTAATTTAAACTGTACGGTTACTCTCCGTTTTTTGTTATTTACGGTATTGCCAAACGCGTTATGTGTCTGATTTGAAACCTAATGAGCGTCCGAGTGTTACAGGCACTGTGCGTTCGGAATTATACTAAGGCGTCCAATTATCCAATCGATCAAAAAAAGAGAGAAAAAAGATTATAATGATAATAATGAAAATATCAAATCGAAATGTTGTTTTTAGGTGGCATGTACACATAAAATTGACTTTGTGGCTGTAAATTGTGGAAAGATCGTATTTTTCTTGACTTTTGGATGTGTACTGAACCTGTCATAACAAGTCATGATGTGCTTTAGAATGAAAGTGAATGACAACCAAACTTTAATTTAATGCATGTACTGTAGTTTTTGATCTGTCCTAGTCAGACATGTCACTGAGCTCAACAATAGAGAACAGTAGAAAAAAAAAACCACAGTTTTAGTTGAAAAATAATTTGCCCAAGCAATGTTCTATATCCAAGTAATAATGATTATAAATATGGATGTTACAAATAGAAGTTACACATTAACCATTTTGAGAGTTTAAGGGTTAACATTACATGTACAGATGGTACAATTAAACTTTAATGCTGTCTGCTACATATAATTATGGTTAATACAGTTTTCAACATGTTGATCTGGAAAGTAACCTGATCTACAATTGGAATTGATGATGTTTGGTGCTCAGAAAATGGTCAGGACTAAAGGTATACTGCAGACTGCAGATAGATCAAACAAGTTTTCAAAATAATGAAAGCATTCAAGATTATTATTAATAACATCAGTTTGCTTGAGAAGGAAAATTTGCACTTTAAATCACCTATTTGAACTGATTCATAAACATGAAACAATGGGCTAATGTTTGAGAAGAAATTTCTTTTACATTTTCCATTGCAGTCTAGTTAAAAATTATTCTTACAAACTAAGCATACCATTTTAAATTTAAAGATGCCAAAGGCACTATTAATCAATGAAATCAATGATTGTTTATTTTTGATGTAATCTTGCAGAAATGGAGAAAACCCACAACACAGCTTGATATGCATGCTTAATAAATTGTTGTAAACAAATTTACCCTTGCCACTGAAGTCAAGAAATACAATTCTATTAAAGCAGCAACTGCAGGGCTATGAATAGTTTTATTCCTCTTACATTCCCAACAATATGTGTTTATTCATTTATTTTTGTCATGTAAAGAATGTTTAAGTGCTCTTGGTATGGAGAATGACCACATCAAAGATGCTCAAATCACTGCATTTTCACAATGGGATGGAAATCATGCAGCAATTCAGAAAAGATTGAACTTCAAGGCTGGTGGAGGCAAGCAAGGAGGATGGTCAGCTGGGAAGAATAATGGAAATCAATGGATACAGGTGGCTCTTGGCAGTTATACCAAATTAACAAGTATAGCAACACAGGGAAGGAATGCTCACAGCCAGTGGGTAACGGCATACAAGCTGCAGTACAGTGAAGATGGAGTGAACTTTTACTACTATAAAGTATCAGGACAGAGTTCACCTAAGGTATGTCTACTGCCATGTGTCACCTACTGAATGATTTTCAGGTGTATCCTTTTGGTATGTGTAGAAAATGAACCTTTAAATGAAGGAAAATCTGTTGAAGTTCATGTCGTTTCCTTTGAAAATGGCTTGGGTCACAAGGAGAATATTAAATAGGCTGTCTTTTCATAAATAATACTGGATGCAGTCTTGTATAACATTCTTGAGGGTGCTTTGTTTACAGACTTTATTTCATCTAGTTAAAATTACTGATGATCCTTGTAATCTGATTGGCTCTCATTGGCGCAATTAATTCATGTGCTTTAAATCACATATTTTCCCTGCTAATAAGGAAGCCTTACCAAGACACAACAACCAATCAGATTTCAAGACTTGTTTACAAAGAAAGCAATCAAATTGCAAGAAAATGAAAAACAACTTTTGTAACCTTCTACAAACCAGCTCACTACTAGATCAATAAAAATATTTGTAGACAAAAATCCTTATCTGAGGGACTAAATTTGCAATTTCAAACTGGACTAGATAATTAAGGGGTAATTGAACTTCATGTTGTGCAATTTTTGTCTGATTTCAAATCATGCACATGATTTCAGACCTAATTTTTTCAAAGACCACAAATTGCACTCACCCTACGGGCTCGTGCAATTTTGTTAGTCTTCAAAAAAAATCACTTGTGCCTATTTATTCCAAATTGCACTCGAAATCATGTGATTACTGAGACAAATTGCACAACACAGAGTTCAATTATCATTATTTTTTAGGCAACTTATAACTGATAATTACTTTCACAACTAAAATTATATTTTGTCACAGTTAAATCATTATTACATGAATTGAATAATATTTTGGCATCAAAGTGATGCCAAAAATGTTGGCATGTAGGTGATTGTGCTGTCTATTCCTAAGCATGAAGAAAAAAGGAAACTCGAAGGAGGAAAGCCTCTTAAATCATGAAACAAATTACCATTTATCTTGTTGTGTGATAGACCAAAAAAAGAAAGAACTATTTTTTTGATGGCCTTATGACTGTTAGATGAATGATGGCAATAAAGTTCCCTTATATGCTATTTTTCTGACCTCTAAATTCATACAATCCAGAGTTGATTTTAATTAGTGACTATCACTCAGAATTGTTTGTCTATTCTCTAGCGAGTTTACAATGTAACCTCAGATTAGTGCTGAGTGTGCTTTATTATGTCATTACAGGTCAAAATTTCAGTTGGCCATCACTGCTTTTTCATCCAGTAAACTTTACAAGCAGCTTGCACTTAGCAATAACCTTTTGATTGATTATCTTTTCTTTGGTGTTTTTCTCTCCTTCAAAGTCCCACATGACACCCCAACCTTCTGGCTAATGGATTGCAACTAACTGTGACTGGGTATTAATGAAAGACCCAGTGCTTTAACTGTATCATCCTTCAAATAATTATTACTAGTGTGCACTCAGTGGTTTAAATCTCCAGAATAAAGAAAGGGAATTTTTGTTATAATTTTTGGTATAATTTCTCCTGACAATATCAGTTCTGGATCATACACTAAGGTCCTGGGAATAAAAGTAATGATCACTAAGTAAACTAGCTTGTGACTGTTAGACAAATTCTCCTTGTCAGAACCTTAGGAAAAGTATACCAAACAGTATGGAGAATTTGCATACTGATTGTTAGGGGTGCAAATTAGGGATTAAATTATATATATCTTCTTAACCATATAACTATATATATTTTTTTGTTTAAGCAACACTCAATTAGACAGAATAAGATGGGTGAACTTCTTACCTACAAAGTACCGGGACAGAGCTCACCTAAGGTAAATGTAGAAGCAGTTACTTGGTTTAAAACTGTTAAAAACATATCCTTATGTCTGCTCAGTATAGAGGTAACAGTTATAATATGTTGCAAGTATTTCATAATTAAGTCATCTGCAAATACCAAGGGGCTAAGCCCCTGATCATGCATTCTACTGTGGAAAAAGTTAATTATGCCACATATCTAGCCTGGCATTCAAAATTGGAGTTTCTCGACTTTCTCTTGCATATTTACAGCTAGTGCAATCAACATGTTATAATTTTAAATGTAAGTTTAAACTGACATCAAAAATGGCATGACTGTGGTAACTGATTATTAATTTTACTTCCATGTATTTGTAGGTATTCAAAGGAAATAAAGACAGAGACAGCATTGTTTATCACCAGTTAAACCCACCCATCAAAGCTCTCTACATCAAACTTCGACCAACAGCATGGTACGGTCATATATCACTAAGGATGGAGCTGTATGGTTGCTCAGCAGGTAAGATAATTGTCTTACATGAACTTATTTGGCACTGAAAAATGGAAGGGTGAAACACATGTTTTGGTTATAACTAGTATAATGCTGAAATATGAATATGGCAAGAAACTGTAGATTGTTAGATACTACATTATGACATACAAAGAAAATTTCTGCTTGATCCAAATTTTGTGTTACTTTTAAATTTTCAATAGAACTGTATGTACCTACCCTCAAACATACCTACATACCTCAGTACATAAATACATACACATAAACTGTTCTTTTACCTTCTTTATTTCTGTAAAGAATGTTCGGCACCTCTTGGCTTGGAGAGTGGACGCATTAAAGATGCTCAGGTCACTGCATCTTCAGAATGGGATAGAAATCATGCAGCAATCCAGGGAAGATTGAACTTCAAGGCTGGTGGAGGCAAGCAAGGAGGATGGTCAGCAGGGAAGAATAACGGAAATCAATGGATACAGGTGGCTCTTGGCAGTTACACCAAATTAACAAGTATAGCAACACAGGGAAGGAATGCTCACAGCCAGTGGGTAACAGCATACACACTGCAGTACAGTGAAGATGGAGTGACCTTCTACTACTACAAAGTACTCGGACAGAGTTCACCTAAGGTAAATGTAGAAGCAGTTACTGTGTTTAAAAACATATCCTTATGTCTGCACAGTATAGACTGAGGTAACAGTTATAATATGTTGCAAGTATTTCTTAATTACGTCATCTGCAAATACCAAGGGGCTAAGCCCCTAATCATGCATTCTACTATGGAAAAAATTAATTATACCACATATCTAGCCTTTGACTTTCTCTTGCATATTTACAACAAGTGCAATCAACCTGTTACAATTTTAAATGTAAGTTGAAACTGACATAAACAATAACATGACTGTGGTAACTGATTATTAATTTTACTTGCATGTATTTGTAGGTATTCAAAGGAAATAAAGACAGAGACAGCATTGTTTATCACCAGTTAAACCCACCCATTAAAGCTCGCTACATCAAACTTCGACCAACAGCATGGTATGGTCATATATCACTAAGGATGGAGCTGTATGGTTGCTCAGCAGGTATGATTGTTGTCTTACATGAACTTATTTGGCACTGAAAAATGGATGGATGAAACACATGTTTTGATTATAACCAGTATAATGCTGAAATTGATATGGCAAGAATCTCTAGATTGTTAGTTACTACGTTATGACATACAAAGAAAATTTCTGCTTAATCCAAATTTTGTGTTACTTTTAAATTTTCAATAGAACTGTATGTACCTACCCTCAAACATACCTACATACCTCAGTAGATAAACACATATACATAAACTGTTCTTTTACCTTATTTATTTCTGTAAAGAATGTTCGGCACCTCTTGGTTTGGAGAGTGGACGCATTAAAGACGCTCAGGTCACTGCATCTTCAGAATGGGATAGAAATCATGCAGCAATCCAGGGAAGATTGAACTTCAAGGCTGGTGGAGGCAAGCAAGGGGGATGGTCAGCAGGGAAGAATAATGGAAATCAATGGATACAGGTGGCTCTTGGCAGTTACACCAAATTAACAAGTATAGCTACGCAGGGAAGAAACGCTCATAGCCAGTGGGTAACAGCATACAAACTGCAGTACAGTGAAGATGGAGTGAACTTTTACTACTATAAAGTACCAGGACAGAGTTCACCTAAGGTAAATGTAGAAGCAGTTACTTGGTTTAAAACTGTTAAAAACATATCTTTTTGTCTGCACAGTATAGACTGAGGTAACAGTTATAATATGTTGCAAGTATTTCATAATTAAGTCATCTGCAAATACCAAGGGGCCCCTGATCATGCATTCTACTATGGAAAAAGTTGATTATGCCACATATCTAGCCTGGCATTCAAAATTGGAGTTTCTATATTTTCTCTTGCATATTTACAGCTAGTGCAATCAACATGTTATAATTTTAAATGTAAGTTTAAACTACCTTTTCAAATGGCATGACTGTGGTAACTGATTATTAATTTTACTTGTATGTATTTGTAGGTATTCAAAGGAAATGAAGACAGAGACAACATTGTTTATCACCAGTTAAACCCACCCATCAAAGCTCGCTACATCAAACTTCGACCAACAGCATGGTATGGTCATATATCACTAAGGATGGAGCTGCATGGTTGCTCAGCAGGTATGATTGTTGTCTTACATGAACTTATTTGGCACTGAAAAATGGAAGGGTGAAACACATGTTTTGATTATAGCCAGTATAATGCTAAAATGGATATAACAAGAAACTGTAGATTGTTAGATGCTACATATGACATACAGAAAGAATTTCTGCTTAATCCAAATTTTGTGTAACTTTTTAATTTTTACTAGAACTGTATATACCTACCCTCAAACATACCTACATACCTCAGTACATAAACACATACACATAAACTGTTCTTTTACCTGTTGTAATTCTGTAAAGAATGTTTGGCACCTCTTGGTTTGGAGAGTGGACGCATTGAAGACGCTTAGATCACTGCATCTTCAGAATGGGATAGAAATCATGCAGCAATCCAGGGAAGATTGAACTTCAAGGCTGGTGGAGGCAAGCAAGGAGGATGGTCAGTTGGCAAGAATAATGGAAATCAATGGATACAGGTGGCTCTTGGCAGTTACACCAAATTAACAAGTATAGCAACACAGGGAAGGAATGCTCACAGCCAGTGGGTAACAGCATACAAACTGCAGTACAGTGAAGATGGACTGAACTTCTACTACTATAAAGTACCGGGACAGAGTTCACCTAAGGTAAATGTAGAAGCAGTTATTTAGTTTAAAACTGTTAAAAACATATCCTTATGTCTGCGCAGTATAGAGATAACAGTTATAATATGTTGGAAGTATTTCTTAATTAAGTCATCTGCAAATACGAAGAGGCTAAGCCCCTGATCATGCATTCTACTATGGAAAAAGTTAATTATGCCACATATCTAGCCTGGCATTCAAAATTGAAGTTTCTTGATTTTCTCTTGCATATTTACAGCTAGTGCAATCAGCATGTTATAATTTTAAATGTATGATGACCCCTTTTATTTAAAATAAATAACAATCCCCACACCAGGGTAGTCCCATCAGAACGTACAGCTCTGCTATCAATAGGAGCCCTGGTGAATAGGATCATAAAAGAAATACAATGCATAATGCAAAAATAAATATAAATAATACTACCAATAATAATAACAGCGGCAAGACTAATAATTTATGTGTTATCTAAATATCGAACAATACTATAAAAATCTATATATTTAGAATGGTATAAAAATCTATAAATACACACAAAACAATAAGAATCTAGTCAATATAAAATATTATAAAAAATTTTAATTAACTTTAATATTGTAAACAACTCATCTATGATAATAGAAAGATTTCCTGGCTGTTTCAGTTCAAACGCGAGGCAAATGAAGTAAATTTCTCTGTCTTGTTCTGGTATTATTAAAATTGAAATAGTGCTTAAAAAATTGAGGACAGTTACCAGAAATGCATTTATTAACTAATTTAAAAGTATGTTCGTCTCTTCTCGACTGTAACTCAGGCCATTTAAGATCCATTAAAGCTTTGTACTTTCCATAGATATTGAAACAATTTTGGATGCCCTTCTTTGAAAATTATCCAGCAGTCTGGCATTGCCCACTCCACAACAGTTCCATACAGTGTCGCCAGAGTCAAAAATTGGACGGATAAATGATAGATATAAATTGTTGGCAGCATGACAAGTTAAATCTCTTCATAATAGAGATAGCATACCTAATCTTTTCTTAGCTTTAGATAAAATGTGCTGAATGTGGGGAGCCCAAGAAATAGTCTCATCAAATATAATACCAAGATAAGTGAACATGTTTATCCGTTTTAAACTTTGTCCATGAAAAGTAATATGAAAGTCTTAATGTTTGGACAGTTTAGAATGAGTTCCAAATAGCATGGCTTCAGTCTTGGAGTATTTAGAAACAAGCTGTTCACTTGAAGCCATTCACCCATTGTATTCAGGCCCTGATTCTGACGGTCTTCAATGACTTTAGAGTTATATCCAGCACAAAACAGAATGTATCAGCTGCGTACATAAGCACATTACAAATCTTAATGCAGAGGGGCAAATCGTTGATATGAATAACAAAGAGTAGAGGGTCTAATATGGAACATTGTGGAACACCAGATGTTATGTGTAGAGGATCAGACGAGGCACCACCGATGCCAACAACTTGGGTGCGGCCAGACGGATAGTTTTCAAACCAGTTTCGCTCTTTGCCTTTGATTCCAAGAAAGTGCAGTTCTCTCAACAAAATAGAATGATCTATTGTATCAAATGCCTTACGCAAGTCCACAAAAACTGCTCCCATCATGAAACCCTGATCAATATTTTGCCGGATTGTGTCCGCGAAAGACAGAGCTGCAAATGTTGTTGAGTGTTGTTTGTGAAATCCACATTGGAATGGGCTAAGTAGACGGTTTTCTTGCAAATAATTTACTAGTTGGGTATGCACCACTCATTCAAGTAACTCTGATATTGCAGGTAAGATAGATATGGGGTGATAATTGTCAACATTGTCTTTCCTCCCTTTCTTAAATAATGGAATAACATAAGCAGCTTTCCAGTCGTCTGGAACTTTGCTCTGAGACAGTGAAGCATTAATTATTGCTGTAATAGGTTTAGTGACCATTGCAGAAGCGTCCTTTAGAAGTCTTGGTGGAATAATATCTAAGCCCACAGCTTTGCCTGATTTAAGTCGTCGGATTTCAGACTGAACAGTAGATTGAGAAATATTTGTAAACAGAAAAGTAGAGTTCGTAGCTTTTTTAAAGATATACTTGACAAGAGGTTCGATGCAGCATTTATAAATGATTTGCAAAGGTTGATAGCAATTGAGCTTTTTTCAGTTATTACTTGACCATCGACTTTAAGTTTTGGTGATGGTTCTTTGCTTTTGGAGAGCAGGATTTTCTTAACTGTTCACCAGAATGAGTTGGGATCACCAGTATTCTCGTTGATGAGCCTTCGATTGTAGTTTTCCTTTTCCTTTCTGATTAAATTGGTAACTCAATTTCTTTGTAAGCGGTATCTTTTCCAGTCTGAGGGAAGTCCGGTGGTGTGAGCTTTTTTCTGTAAATAATCCCTTTGTCTCATTTGACGTTTGATAGAAGTATTGAGCCAAGGACAATAAATGTTTAAGCCCCTAACGCGTTTTACAATAGTGGGGGCGTGACGTTCTGCTATGTTGGTAAACTTATCTTTGAAGGACTGCCAAAGCTCATGAACGTCCTTATTGTTAACGTTTTCACTTGGGAGATCGAAGTCTGTTTTTCAAGTCCTCGAGGAATTTATCTGGGTCGTAATTTGCATAATTTCGAAATGTTTTAAGTTGTGATGGAGCTTTTTTCCAATTTATCTTTCTGACACAGAAAGACATTTCATGATCGCTTAAGCTAGTACCGGTGACGACCCCAGAGTCTTTAATGTTTTGTGGATGGTTTGTAGCAATCAGATCAATCATAGTTCTGGATTCCACGTTGACTCTTGTAGGCTCCTTGATGATTTGAGTAAACTGCAACGATTTAAATAAAGATTTAAGTTGGTTACATTCTGGGATAGTTGAGCGTTTTGACGCAAAGTCGGTGTTCCAATCTCCAAGTAAAACCACTTCTTGACCCTTTGAGACAGCAGTGTTCAGAGTGTTATTCATTTTTGAACAGAAACCTTTATCATAGTGGTTAGATGAGTTTGGAGGTCAGTATAAACAACTGGTTAGTAAACTACGCGACTTTGGAAGGGAAACTTCAAGCCAAAGGCCTTCTTTGTCGGGCCTTTCAAGATCTTCTCTTCTGTCAACCATAACATCATTGCGAACATATTGCTACGCCTCCACCTTTCCCTTGTCTGTCCTTTCTAAACAGTTTATAACCAGGAATTGATAATTCATTGTCAGGAATTGAGTGCTTTCACCAAGTTTCAGTCAGCCCAAAGATGTGAATACTAGACTTGAGTTTGCTTAACAGAAGGCGTAGTTGGTTGATTTTCCATGGTAGGCTTTAAATGTTCTGATGTATCAATTTCAGTTCATGCATCTGACAAATTACAGCATCAATAAAAAGAATGAAGGAGCTTACCAAGCGAATTCAGATGAAACTGTTTGTCAGGGACACAAATGGTAGGTTAAAGTAGTGTTGTTCATTCACTTGTACATGTACTTACTGTAATAAGCTTAAACCCCTAAACCCTAACAGTGATTGACTTCTAATTTCTCCTCACAGTATCACTCTGAATCAAGTGTAAAGGTCGTGAGAATAAGGGAAATGATCAATAATTTAAAAAGCTCTTGATTGTCGAACAACTTATATTCTCATCAGTACCACAGGAAATGTAAAGAGAACAATGTGGAGAACGTAGTTACTAATTTTAAAGTGTAAACGGTGAATTTGTTCAGCTTTGCAAAGAAATGTGTTGGGGTAGAGCAAGCTCAGTACAGACGATAGTCCGACGCCGTCGTCAAAAAATTATTCTTTCTGTCAGTACTTCCAAGTTATGGTACATTTACATTTGGAGTACATTTGTATTTAATTTGATTGCAACCTTTCTCATAGATAAGCTGAAAAATAAACATTCCATTTTGCTAATTAAACGTGACGCTTCTGTTTGTAGGAGTTTGAAAGCTCTTTGGGGTTACATGAAACGCATGAACATCAACCATGTTCATGTTTGGGAGACAATAAAGGATTTGGTTGTCAAAGCCATCATAGCGTAAGTAACAGAAAGTGCTGTTGTTGTAAAGAAATACTCACTGGAAAGTTAGTAAAATCCATCTTGACAAGTACAGCTGCACAATAGTCCATAGGTTGAAGTTTCTTTAGTAACTCAGCTAGTTTGAACTTGCGTTAGTTTGGCCATAAAAGGCAGAAGCCGCCAGCATTATAGAACGAGTTCCTGCAAAGGTGGCGTAGCGGCAAAAACAAGATACCGACACGTTTACTGATCAGTTTTAACGTTTTTTGAGCCGCAAATGTCTTATTACGTACGGAGATGATAACTTTGAAAACTTTGTAGATAATAAAGAACGCATGTAAATTATCACTATAGATACATTTTTTGTCGCATTTTGCTGAAAACTTGAACCCTGTCATTACACTGTGCTTGTCCAAGAATCTGAAGGTCTATTTTTACTTATTTCTACATTTTCACCATTTTCGCCGTTTCTTTAAATCTTAACATGCACAAGAAAATTTAGTGAAATTGAACTTCTTGATGTGAATGTTTCAGTTCTGACTCAGCGGTAAACACCATGGTGAAACAGAATGTGAGAAAAAGGTAAGAGACTGCAGTTGGTCTTGAACAACATTTGTGCATTTTGAACAGAGTTTAGTTATAGTACGTACGCTATGATTGGTCTATTTACCGCGCTGTTTATAGCTGTATGCCCTCCTCAATTCAAAATTTTGTTTGAATTGATATCTTCGCGCACTATTTGAACTCAGAGATGTAACAAGTGTAAGTATTAACATGATTTCGAGTGTAATTTGGTGCTCATAAGCACGAGTAATTTTTTCAAAGACAACAGAATTGCATGAGCTCATAGGGCAAGTGCTATTTGTAATCTTTGAGAAATTTGCAAGTGCTTATTACACCAAAAAGAAAAAGTTATGAAAAAGAAAAATTATGTAATTACTTGGTTAGTAATGTACTTGAAAAAACATTGCAGAAAGTCGAGACAAACGAAATTTGAAAGCGTGCGCGCGCCATTTGTAACTTGCACTTGTGCTACAACTTTGCACTCGTGTTACATGAGAATGCGCTCGTTTTCAGCTAATCAGAAGCGCGTAATTTTTTTTAATGTACTTCGTTAATATCTTACTAAACTCGTTTTCATGGTCCGTAGGGTAAGTTACAAAATCTGTTTTTTTTCCCCGCTGGAACATCTAACTCAGTCAGTATTACTAACTGTAATATCTTTACTACCATCTACAACATTGTCTAGATCTTGCTGTCATGAGCTTTTTGGATTTGATGTCATGTTGGATGAGACCCTTAAACCGTGGCTACTAGAAGTGAATATATCTCCAAGGTAATTCACGCATTTGTCATGTTCAGAAATATTGACCACGCGAGAGATACCAGTATTCAACCGAAATTCACATACTCAAGAGATTGAAATACTGACCTCGCGAGGGATATGTATCCAACTCAAAAATTTTCATTCTTAAGGGATTGTAGTTCTATGGTGTTCTTGTGAACCCATTCAAATAATTGTTTTCGCATGCAAAAAAAAATTTTTTTCCCATGGTCCGCCAGACATTGGAACATAGTAAGGGACAAAATATGGAATGTTAAGGCTGCGATTTATAATTTTTCTTATCGAAAACGAGGATGATTTTTAATTTATTTTTCAAAACGCTTTTTAATGCAAATCTTGTGTTAATTGATTTATTGCGGGACATTTACGTGCATTCGTTTTGTTTACTCTTTGTTTGAAGTGCAATAAGATGCGCAGCAAGTTGTGTAAAAGGGTGTGCAATAGGATGCGCAGTAAGATGTACAATTAGGTGCGTATTGAGATGCGCAGAAAAATGCGCGGTCGATGCATCACTAGGGAATGACATTTCGTTAATCGAGTAAACTTCGTCAATTTCCTCCCCAGTCTTCACTCCACCTCTCAACTGGACCGTAACATCAAGGGACAGATGATAAAAGACTTGTTAAACCTGGCAGGGTTTTGCATTCCAGAAAACCTGATCACAACCTCAACTTCAAGGTCAGTCTAACTATTGGAATATCAGAGAGAAATTGAAATTACGAGCTATTTGCAAATGATGAATAGTGAGGCACGTGACTCCGCCAACATGTAATTTTTCAATATGGTTGCATTGTGCAGCCCACATATGAGTATAATGTATTATGAACGTGAAATTGCTGTTTGGTTTCAGCACTAGTAATATGAACCAGTTTGTTCAAGATAAAGCTGTGACGGGTCTTTCTTCAGATGAGAGAGGAAAGGTGAATATATGTTATGGATGGCAAATACCTACAGTTATTTAGAACAACATGTTTTTATGTTGTTTGCCAGTCTTAATTTACTGTGACAACGTCATATACATATAATGGTAATAGGACCGAGTGGAGTCCAATTCGGTCGGTAATCATACGGGTGTTTAACAAAACTGGACGACCGCAAAGAGGGAGTCCAATTTGTCAATCAAGAGTATGATTACAGACAGAATTGGACGACAATAGGTCCTGTTACCAATCAATCATAACGATTACAATTTCTAAAAACAACAAATACATTTAGGTCAAATACCTCCAGTGGAGACAAAGACTAAAGTAAAAAAAAATTGTAGTATAGTAATAGTCTAGATTTATGTTTCGAGAAGGGAAATAGTTAGACATGCTCTATTGAGTGCTTTTGTGTTGGAGATTGCTGCTGACTTAATACTTCTCCTTCACTGACCCCAACATATTGTTTAATCATTTTACTTATGAGCCTGCCTTACAGATTATTAGAACGTACAAATGATGTTAAAAAGTACTGGCTATAGATACATTCCATTATTTGCGAAAATTTAAGAAGGAATTGACTTCGAACCAAGTCAAACTGTTCTTTTGTGTGTCGTCTTAATTTGTTTAAGTGTTGGACGTTATTTTTCTTGTGTTTCAGCATGCGTTTTATGTTCAACGTCATCTAGACGAGGTAGGAACACATTTTATAACGCTTCCCTTCAAATTCCTTTCTTTTAAATGATTGCATTTGGAAATCCCACAATGCCTTTATTATTGAAATATCTTGCTGACAGTTACACAACATGTTTCATGAACTCGAAATTACGCCGCAGAGAGCGCTTAAAGTCTGCATCATTGAACAACAGACACTCGACCCTTTTACTGGCTTTTCTAGGATGCATCAGTATGAATTGCGTCAAAACCCAAACGAAAGTTACCACACAGCCAGTCAAAAGAAAGAAATTAAAAAAAAAGAAAATGTCGCAATGAACTAATAAGACAATTTACGGTGAAATCAAGGAAAATGCTTCGAGCGCGGAAAGGTAAAAGGGACCAAGTAGTTGGGATTTGTGTTAGTGAACATCAGCATCTTGTTATTCAAGAGAGTATCGAGTTTTCTAAAACAATCACATAGCTTGTTGGAGCGTAAGGAACATCAGTTAAATCCAATGCAATCTCTAGCTGTGTTCGTCACTTACTTTGAATTACCCGAATTTTGAATTTATTGTTATGGAATTTTACTAATACAAACTTGTAATCAGTCCACTTCTCTTTCATTCATGTCTTTTAGCGCACGAAACAGTCAATCCTTGACATCTTGACACCAGACGACATTAGAATGCTTATGGAGACAGAAGATGAGGTACTCTGTACATACGAACTTTTGAACATATTTTTGTTTCCTTTATTCTTCGTAGTGAAAAGCAAAACCTATAAATTTTGTTGCTTATTGTGATGATTATGCGTGTGTAAAAGAGAAAGGTGAATTCATTTTATCCTTTATAAGAGACTGCCATGCATTCGAGAAAGTGAAATTTGCCGTAATGTAGCATAGCTCGAGCGTTTTTATTTTCCCTCACAGAATAGTCGAAGAGGATGCTTTCAGAGAGTTTTTCCATCCATGTCGTCCAACAAGTATTTAAGATTCTTTGAGTCTCAGGTGAGGATAATTTTACGTACAAACAGTCATTACTACCTCATTAAACTACGGGCAGTCCCTGCTTGTTGCCGAAGTCCGTCGCGCGACCAAAAGAAATCAGAGAAAAAAGGAAGATTTTAGCGCGCCGCGCGGATTTATGTAGTAGGTACTACTTATAGTGTGTGCCACTCTCAGAGGTCCGAGCGGTGCGCCAACCATTTTCTTTCAATCACTGTTTTTTTCCCCGAATGGTGCGACGGACTCCAGCAATTTTGCTCCTTTTAAAATGACTTTCTCTTCCCTCCATCCTTGATCGAATTTTTCTGCCAATTTCCTTATAGAGATATTACAACATTTTGTTGGACGAATGGACAAGAAAATACATGAGAGAAGGGCGGAGCACAGTCCTGGGTAAGTTTAAATTCAGGTAGAAAAAGCTAGGTCACCGTAATGTATATTCGGAAAAAGTAAACTACGTTATTTGCAGTCTGTGTATGTATTTGCGATATTTAGACTGGCTGGCTCAGTGCAGCTCAGAGCTGGTTTAAATGGGGGCCTGTTTAAGACCAGACCACTACACCGGGAGTCGTGCGTTCCACAACGTGAGCTGAACAAGTGTAGTCCGTGTCACTCTTTAAAATTCTGCGTCTTTTTGTTGCCCTTATGGTCTTAAGTTTTTTCTTGTTATGTTTCTTACGATTCTACACTGTAAATGTTTATTTAAATTGGTCTTTTTTCTTACACAGGAATCGCTGTTCTCCAAGCTCTTGGTGAAAAGAAACTTCATATTGGGGCAACCTCGGATCCAACACATCAAGTGAGGCTTAATTTTATTAATTGATTTATTTGTTTTCGCAAAGAAAGTAATCATTCCTTTAAAGATTTTGAAAATAGTTCGAAATTCTATTTGGATTACTGACTGACTGATTGACGACTAACTGATTGACCGATGGACTGACGACTGACTGACCTGCTGTGTAAACCGGTTAGCTGGCCTGCTTACTGACTGACTGACAGACCGACCGACTGACTGAATTGATTGAATCGGATCCATCGAATGAATGGTTTTATCAAGTGACTTATAGACTGAAGAACTGACTGGCTGATTGATTGATTGATTGAGTAATCGATTGATAGCTCGATCACAAGATTTAAGGCTTTATCGATTAATTGATTGAGAGACGCCTTTTCCTCACAGTGGAATTGCCCTCAAGGTATAACGTACAGGTCCTCTTCCGCTCCAGCTCTCAGTTTGGACCACGGACTCATCAAATCAAGGTCGGTGTAAAAAATTAAATTCCAACTTAATGTCAATTGACAAAAACTGCATATCGCTGTTTGTTTGTTTTGATATTCCTGATGATAACATTTATTTAAAGTCAATTTATAGGTTGCCCTCAATCTGAAACACCATGTCACTCTCCGTCCATTCTCAGTGTTCTACATGTTCTTGAGCGTTTCTTCTTTCTCTCAGACGCTTCTCAGCACCAGCTGCGAGAATAAAGGAGTGAAGCAACTCAAACTCTTCATCTACTTCTATTAGGTACATGCTGGAAAGGTGCTGCATGGTTTTTTGGGATTGGCGCAGTTTCTTTTATGTTGACTTTGGTCCTTTTTCTACGATGGGTTCTGATTATTCTCCTCCGTGCTCTGCACTACTTCACACACTACTTCCTTTGTTGTTCATCCTTGTTCCTCAGAAACTCATTCTAAGCTTGTTTAAGCTTTTTTCTAGAAGCTCTCTTGCCACTCTACTTCCTGGTTTTCGTGCTTAGATATTTGAGTTTGTTTGAAATGTTAAGCTTCTTTCTTTATTACAATTTAAAATTGTTTACAAGTTCGTATTTGCTATGTATTTACTCTGTAGTCCGCACACCTACTTTAAAAGCTACAACAGATCCATTGGTAATCAGAAGGACTCATTTCTCGTTTTAAGCTCTGTTAGTTGATTGTACTGCTCGCGCTGTTTCGAATTGAGATCATCACTGATTGTTTTGACTTTATTTTTCCTTCCTCACTGTTAGTAGGCTTTCCTCTGCTTCTTCAACTAAGACTGTCAAAAGGTATTATGTCAGCAATTTTTCATGTTCCTAAACATGTCCCATATGAATATATCCAAATTTGGTTGTACTACCTCAGCGCACTCGTTGCGTGAAAGTCTTCAAAGTTCAGTCTTAGTCCGGTTCTTTTCTCCCATGCAATTATTTCTCTCCCCTTTTTCCATTTCTTACTTTTCACCTTTTTAGGAATGGCACAGCTTCCATCTTGAAAAATTCTCCGCGGAGAAAATCAGCTGTTACATCATTTAAGGGTAAAAGGTATTCTTTTTTCTCCCGGTCTTTCTTGGGACACTGAAAATTCATCACTAATTTCACATTACCTGTACGCATCTTTGCGACGAGGAGTGAGATTCTGATCGCACATTCCAGATTATTGAAGAGCTGAATGTGAAGAAAAGGAACTATCATGATTCAATACGGTTAAGTTGCACGCGTTGTATCGACAGATTGTTACAGAGGAAAGTCATGAACAGGGTCATATCCAGGGTTCCCAGGAAAGGGATTTGTTTCTAAACATCTCCTTGAAGTTTAAGTCTGTCGTTTTTCTCTTATCCTCAGAAGAGAAGTATCCGCATGGCAAAATGTGACAGTGACAAACGAAACTTTGTTCTTCTTTCTGAACCTTTTCCTACTCCTTAAATTTTGGATCCTCATTCTAGTTTGGCGATTTTTCCTCTACTATACTTTATTACTAATCTCGACTTCACTTTCTTTACTTTCCTCTTTTTCTGCCGGCCGATACCCGGAAAAAGACGACCGTCCTGTTGTTTTTACTTTTTCTTCCTCTCTTACCCTTCCATCTTTGGTCCTCTAACTCTGTCTTTTCTTTTTGTTGTCCTCTTTTCTCCTCTCTTTATCAAATAGAAAACTTCGGACAACTCCACGATGTAAGTCAGCTCCTTCTTGTAGACGTAAGAATAAAGAAAATTCTGAAAGCTCTAATGAATCAGGGTAATATATAGTAACTTTCACTTTTTGTCTTCATCTTTTTCTTTCATTTCTACATCAAAACTCTAATCTCTCTAGTTCACTCTACACCTATTTTAGCTATTTCGTCCCATGTTCTTGTAATTTAATCGCTAATTCACAACTGACAATCAATGAATTTCCATCAATGAATTTCTTCATCGGCCTAAGTGACAATCTTGAAAACTGTAGTTTAGTTTTAGGTGTGCAAAGGTGATCTTAATAGAAAGTGGCACTTTGCTATACAGCTACATATTCTCATAAACACAAATGCACTTATGAAGTTTTTGGATCATTTTACCCCAATATTTACCCTAACCTGTTATCAGTTGACAGTCGTTGGGTTAGGAGCGTATTTTCTCAGATACCAACAGTGATTCCAAGTTCAGTTTTAAAGTGACAAAGATACTTATGTAAAGTGAAACCGGTTTCTTTACTGAAACGACGATGGCCACGATGGCCATTAAGGCCCAGGGTGACCATCAGACCTACAGCTCAAACTTCCACCAACCCAGGAGATCTTAGAACTTCATTCTAGGCCACATATACTACAGTGGTTTCAAAAGTAGCTTTCTGATATTTTGTCACAGCCAGCACTAAATAGTATTATCTCAAGAACCATTATCCGTCTTTTTCCTTCCAGTGCTTCGGCTCCGGTGCTTCTGCCCAAAATAAAGAAGAAGTCAACAAAATCGCACACATCCAAGGTGGGTTTTTCTCAAACTTCTTGTAGAAAGTGCAATCTCTTTTTACTGAATACCCCGCTTATTCCATGGGAAGTCACTTCAGTTTTTTGAGCTCCTCCTCACGATACGTTTGTCTTGCTACAACTGAATAACATACACTTGATTTCTACTTTGTATTTATGTTTATCTCCTACGTTAAACTTGTTTAACTCAATCGTCCTTAGTTTGGCTCCGTCCTCGTAGTTTTTCATCCTCTTCAAACATCGTGTTTGATTTCCAGGTCAGCCATTCAACTCTACAAAATCGCTCTAACCTAGAAAACTCTAACCGAACGTGCAAGATTCTTAGGGACTCTTCGCGCCGACTGACCTTACCTCAGATCAAAGAGCGTGAAGCAGTTAAAGCGATTTGTTGTACGGTTCTCTGTTTGTTAGTACTAACAGCACTGATTAAAACTTCGAAGAATTCATTCGCACCGTAAAAATAGTCAGTTAGCCACACATTCAGTTAGTTTACCGCTTACACAAGCCGTAAAGCAAACGAACCAACGGTCAAGCCTCGGTGAGGGTTACGGAGCTATTTTATGAACACGGAGCATAACAAATTACAAATTTTTTTCGTTATGAACACAGCCACGCTAACGCGCTGCCCTGTAGCTTTCATTCCAATGTTTTGTGACATCACCCCGCTGGAGCAAGGAGGGTAGAAGGCATTTTCTTCTTTTCCACTGGACTTTATCATCACACCTCCGCCCACGGGTTTCTGTGATGGCCACCAGCGCCACGAGGAAGACTGAAGACCAGTCAAACCTTGCATAGGGTAATTTAGTATTATCAATTGAATTGATAACGTAAATTAGCCACCGTGAAGAGTTTCGAAGATAACATTTCGAGAATTAGCCCTTCATCAGAGCGAATGGAGGAATTGTGGGTTGTGTGTATGTGTTTATATGAAGACCTTGCATAGCCTAACATTCGTAGCCTAACATATCATGAAATTGTTATGCTTGATTTTCAACTTATTCTTTTTTTTCATCAGATGTCTTCCAGCTCGGCCACATCCTCTGAGCGAACCCGGCAGATGCTGAGAGCTCGGATGAAATCGAACATCTGACTAGTGCAGGATAGAGGGCCGCTTACTGTGACAACAACTACCATACCCCTCTCCCTAGTATTAATCCACAGCCAGTGTGTATCGGAGGGGAGGGTGAAGAGTGCATCCAGAGCCGACATGCGCATTGCACGATTGAGACGTGCCCACAGAAGCGAGTTCTTCATGAACTGTTGATTCATCTGAACAGACTCAATTTAAGCTCAGATAGATATGCTTGAGCGTTTAATTAATTCATTTCGAACTGCAAGCGTTCTTGTAATATAAATGTACATATTCATATTTTACGTATACAAAGAGCGAAAAGTGAGAATAGACGTAATTTTCATGAGACATTTAACCCGTGTGGGGTTAGAGCAAACGTGAATATAATGTTTAAAAAAAATCATCACTCTATCGAAGTTCTGTTTGCAGATCTGGAGCAGAAATGTTTTAAAGCCAAAGCTTTAGAGAACTGCAATAAGGAAAGAAAGGTATTGTTGAGATGATGATACCTTATAAATAATTATTTTCTTATGCATAATTTCCAAACACCGAATTTTCTTCATGATATTGAACAGATGTATATAACAGTAAATACTTCTTAACGCTTGTAAATCCAATTTCCATGATTGACACAACTTTTTACCATATTCTATCTGTTGCAAGTTTTTCTACGTATTTATGTACTAAATGGAAAAACAATTTCCACAGAAAAAACTAATTGATTTAACTACAAAGGAATTGATAACGAATTAAAAACGCTGCATTTCATCGTGAAACACATAATATAACACAATTATTTTAACAAATAAAAACGATTGTGAAGAATCGTTCGTTGAACTATGATGTGTGCAGGGGAGAAATTTCAACACAGAGATTCCGAAATGCGTCCATCGAGAAACAAAAATGAATAAGCTTAACACTCAAGTCTCCAAAATGGTTTACCTACCAAACCTTCGAATGAAAAAAGAAAAGAAATTGAAAAACAAAAGTAAAATAGTGTAAAGAGAATTAATCTTGTGCATGTTGTTAACATAAACTTGTGACGTTTCACGGAAGAGGCTGAACTGGTTTATTCTCGACAAAAATATTTCCAACATGGTTGAAGAACTAGAACCAGTACCAGGAAAAGAAAAGTTTTCGTACCATCCAAGCAAGCACAAAAGCGTATTATGAGCGAGCTTAAGCCGACTCATACGTACTTGCCTTTAAACGGATAAAGTGAAGGTCGTTTTTCCGCTCGGATTTGGTGTTGATCCCGTTTTGAGTCCATCTCTTTTCGTGCACAAGTCCTCTCACCGTAATAGAGCGTTATATGTTGGGATCTTGAATTATAGCGGAGTTGCGATCGCAAATTGTAAGTTTCGATCGTAAGTTAGTAACTTGCGATTGAAAACTCGAACTTTCCTTAAAAGCCACTACATGATAGACAGTCCGCCCAGTACTACATGCCTGATATTAAAATGACACATGAATAAAAGGGGTAATGGTGATGCTGTGTCGATGGGGTATTACAAGATGATTTGGTTCTATCAACTGACGTTCTTACGAAGGACTAACGCCGTAAACGTTTAAAAACTCTTTTCAGCAGCCAATTTACATTATCAACTCAGTTGATCGAACAAATTATCTGGTTTTTAAATTTTCTGCGTGATTGCGCAAAAATGTGAGTGAACCGATGGTATTAACTGTACTATGGTATTTCGGGGAATAAAATCCTTCATTACATTTCTTTAAAAATCACCTGTGATCGTTGCAATCTGATCGAATCTCCGTAACCAGATAAATCGCATCTTTATCCCAACCAATGAGACCGGTCTACTAAAAATACAATAACCAATCAAATTTTAAGACTTGTTTAGAGGAATCAATCAAATTGCTGGAACATGAGAGAAATTTTGTATTGAGCGAATGAATCTTGTGATTTCAAAATAATCAATTTTCAAGACTTGTTTAAAGAAATCGATTAAATTGCAGGAAAATGAGAGACATTTTGTATCCAACGACTGAATCTCGTGATTTCAAAAAATTTGAAATAAAGTGGTAGTTAATTACCATAATAAATTTCGTTATTGTGGTGATCTTAAATCCTGCTGTTTTTTTCCTGTTTGTTAAGTTGTCAAAGTCTCCGTGTGCGGCGAAACAAATTAGTGGCATTGCTTTTGTTTCTTATTCAGTAGCCTGCGGTGAAATAATCAACCAGCCATGTCGTTTAAATATTTTTCTGAAATTTATTTAAGTCATCGTAGCGGCAAAGGGTCCGTAAGATGCGAAAGATCGTTTGAAAAAAAATTGATGGAGCAAAATTTGAAAGAGATTACTGTCCACAAAACGGGGTACCTCCTGGAAAAATCGTCTTAAGCGCGGTACTTAACAAATAGGTTCCAAATTGCCGTGCGTCTGTTTAGTAATAGATCACAGAGGACGGCAAAATGTGGTAAGAACATCAGTAACACACTCGGCTGCACCTCGTGTGCCACTTTGTTCTTACCACATTTTGACGTCCTCTGTGATCTATTACTGAACAGACGCACGGCAACTTGGAATCTATTTGTTTTATATAATAAAGAATTTAAAAAAGTGTTAATGATGACGAAATACGTCTGTCCTCTAATAGATCATAAGTGAGAACCAATTAAAATGCGTGCATAACTGAGCTTATTATATAATTTAGAATAGATCATGAAAAACTATATGTCACTGTGGAGCTTATAAAGTATAAATTCTGAAAATAACAAAAGCTGGTTGTCACAGTATTTGTTTTGGCAGGCACACAACTTAAAAGCTTTCTCTATCTAAAAAGCAAAAAAAAAAAAAACGAAACTTGAAAGAACTTTGACCAGTGTTTTGGTCTGTGTTCAGTTGTGTGTGTAAATCATGCATGGATAGAAAACATATTGCAGTTTCGATGTTTCGTCCATTATTCACTCGTGCTGTGGTATTCAGAGCGTCACAATACACCTAAATACACCCATCGTCATCCCTAAAAACTAATTATTTCCCTTCAGTGCGTCTAATTCGAAGATATTAAAATTACGATTGATAAACCAGTAAGTTCTTCTCTTCTCTAACAGTGTTTCAAAAACTCCACACAGCATCTATAAACATGATCGAACATTTTTTCATAATCTGACATGTCTCCACACAAAGGATCGTGTATGATCAACTCTCCTTTGGGGTCATATGTTCCAAACAGTTTTACTTCCGCTGGCGTAGTGCCATCATTTGGCCTAAAAGTTTCATTCAGATGTCGTACATTGCTCTCATCAAAGGCCAATATTACATCGAAATGACGAAAATCATCTTCTTTTACTTTTCTTGCTCGGTGGTTGCTGGCAATTCCATGTTTCTTCAACACTTGCAACCCTCGTTCGTTCGATGGGAGTCCTTCACGGAAAACATGAGTTCCAGCGCTTTCAATCTCCCAACCGTTCCTATCTTCACGTTCCTGTATAAGGTGCTTTAAAATCGCTTTAGCTGTAGGAGAACGACAAGTGCTCCCTCGACAAACGAACAGGACTTTTCGATATTTAGAATCCGCCATCTTAGATTGCAACAAGGCGAATAAATGCTAAAGTGCCTCTATCCTAATTTGCAGCTTGTTAGAAGATTAAATTATTCAAATTATTCATCGCGCACGCACTGGGAATCAACCAACTTGAAAACATCTGGACGCTCTTTCTTTCAAGTTCTCGAATAACGACAGCTATAAACACCGAATTTTATTCAAATCGTTCGAATCCTGTGATGTAACTAACGAAAAGTTTATGTTTCTTTTCAAATGAAGGATACTTATTGGGTAAGAGTGCCTTGCACCACAAACGTGGAGGGGAACAAAGAGGAACGAGCTCGGAGAACAGAAGGCAGAAGCTTAAGAGGGCGAGAGAAGGGATCTACATGTGGGCGGGAAGCGGGAGCAGAGGCACTCGTTT